CTGTTGCTGAATCGCAGTTTCTGAATCGCGCGAAATAGTTTCTGAATCGGACGAAATAGTTTCTGAATCGTAGTTTTTGAATCGGCCTAGTTTCTTGAATCGGTGCAAATAGTTTCTGAATCGGTCCAAATAGTTTCTGAATCGCAGTTTCTGAATCGGTCCAAATAGTTTCTGAATCGCAGTTTCTGAATCGTAGTTTCTGAATCGCGGATAGTTTCTGAATCCGGTTTCAATCGTATGGGGGGGTGTTCAAGGGGTAGGTGCCAGAGAATGGGAGCGTAGGATTTTGCAATGTTACTGTGCCCAACATGGTAGGGACGCGAGCTTTAAGAGGAACCCGACTAGGCGGACCTGTAATATTCGTATGTATGGAATCCCAAAATGGGTTTAGGGTTTAGGGTTTTGGAATCCCAAAATAGTCCTGCCTCTGAGTACTAGGTTTCTAGGATTTTGCCTTGAAGGATCAAGCCCTCTGAATTCGCAACCCTACTCAATATAACCCCCCAAAGTGACCTCAAGACTGCATGCTGGAAATTCCTGGCATATTGGGAGGTTCCATTTTTGTATCCTTCTCGGGGTCTGGGAAATCTTCCCCAAAGTCCTAAGGTATCCGTAAGTCTCACGGTTGAGGGTAAACTTACAAGCGATCCATGCCCATGTCACCAGCCACCAACACTAACCCACCTCTGCTCCGCTACAGCTCCTACAGCTCATCCCTTCATACGAATATTACGTAAAACACTCAACCACCACTACCGTTAAATATGACACCCCACCATGTCCAAGGTCTCTTATCGAAGACGTTGAATGTTAGGCGGTGGGGATTGTTTACAATTATGGGGTTATATCTAGTCCCCCTTAAGTAGATAGAATATGGCTTTGGGTATAGTACAATGAGATCCCTACATACCCCATATTCTATCTACTTAAGGGGGAATATACCTCCTAGAGACCCTGTCTGAACCCTAAATCCTAAGGGGCCCGTGTTCCTGAGGAGCTCCTAGTCTCTCAAAGGGTCAAACTTTGATCTTTCTACTGCCTGCAAAAGAAGCAGGCTGATCCGCTTTAGGTTTGAGGGTTCAGAACTTTTAGATTTTGTATGTAGGGTCCAGGAATAAAGACCTAGGATTTAGCATTTAAGGTTTCAGGGCCCGCTCCCTGCCGAATCAACGCTCTAACCCCCAAACCCTAAACCCTCAACCCTACATATCTTGGTCAACCTGCATTTGGTAAGTGACCCCAGGTAGGTCCGTTTCTTTCCAAGTAGGTTTTAAGGTTTAGGGTTCAGGGTGTTAGGTTTGAGGGTTTAGGGTTTAGGATCATCAGGCAGTTGGCACCACCGAGGGCGTCACATGCTTGAAGCCCGAAACCATGTTTGGGGGGTCCCCTATGTCAGGATTCCAATATTTTGGGGCCTAAATTGGGTCCCCGTGTTTTGGGAAACGACAGTATGCTCCCGCACACCCATCTTACATCCCCGTGTATATCTCCATTATCTCGCCTAAATCACCCCACCACAGCCCTACGAAGCGCTCTTCGCGAAGACCATGACGCTTGGGTAAGGTTAGCAGCCTCAGCAGCATGCCATTTACCAGCATGTGGATTTTCACGGTTTCTGCACCTTGCCACATAGTTCTGCTTGGGGTTTGGTATGGATTATCAGGCACAATACTACGCTGGAAGGCACTAAGTAGCTCTTAAAAATCCTACACCCCAAAACGGACCATGCCCTTTTTGGCATTTGCGAGCGAATGTCACGTAACACTCGGTTGATCATGGTTACCATGTCCTCAAGGGGGTGGGTCCAAGAGTACTGGGGAACCTCTGGGGAACTCAGGAAGCCTTGAGAGTGCTAGGGTTTAGGGTTTAGGGTTTAGGGAAGCCCTTAGGGGCACTAGGGAGGAGTGCGGAGCATACGGAATTACTAGCCCATACCCGAAACCATCCTAAAACCAAAATCCTCAACCCTAAATCCTAATCCCTAGACCCTAAACCGCGGACCACACATCCCCGCAAGGACATGGAAAAGTGTGCTGCTGCATCATGTGGCAGCTGAGGAATCTCCTTGTCGCTGGAAATCCAGAAGCAAAAGTAACCCATTCGGGTTCAGGGCTTAGGCATTAGGATTTTGAGTTTAGGATCGTCGGCTTAGGGTATGGAAACGCAATATAGTATTGGGGAGTTTGTTGATCATAGACCCTGAACCCGAACCCCCACGCCGCGAATCATGATGGACATACGGTACAAGAGGATTGCCTTCGACGCTGGAGTTGCAGGCGGAAATCGGCATTGGTACATGAGGGTCCACCCGATTTAGTGCTTAGGGCTTAGGATCCTCGCAAGCGCATCATGCTTGCAAAGCTCAGTGTCACAGTCTCAGACTGTTAGGAGGAGAGGGCGTATGCCCAAATAGGGACAATTTAACCTGACTTGATAAGCTGAAAGTCTCCAAATTTGAGACAATTTCCGATGTAAACCTTAACCCTAAACACTAAACCACCGTTTGGGGTGATGTGGGGTGAGGTTGCTATACTTTGCCCAAGAGGTATAAGTGAGGTTAGAACTACTAGAAGAAGCTCAGGACTAGATTTAGCGCTTTCGTATAACTATCTTAAGACTACTCTAAACCTTGAACCCTAAATCCTAGACCCTAGATCAAAGGTAGTAGGGCGAGGCGGATTCTTGCAAACCCAGTCGCTGCCCTGTAACCAGAAGAACTGCCCTTTCTGGCTAGGGTTTAGGGTTTAGGGTGTTCTGCCTCATGGATGCTAGAACTAAGGAGTCAAAGGCCTGGTCTCAAAACGATCCCCACATCACAGACCTTGACATTGAAACCTCAGACTTTGGGTCTCACATACCCTATTTCAGGCCTATATTCCATGGTTTAGCCATCCAGACCCAACGCGTACGAACCCTAAAGGTACAAAAGAAGGCTCCCTGACTTTAAGATCACAAGGAGGACCCCTACCCGAGGGGTACCCCTATAGGTTTAGGGGTTTAGGGTTAGGGTTTAGGGTTTAGAGTTAGGGCTTTCTCGGGAACATCCATTTTAAAGAAATCCCCGCGTCTTGGTGAGTCACGGCAAACCATCCACGAAAGGGTTTTGCAGAACCTGCAAATGCTAAGCCGCTAAGCACTATCCTTCCCAAAATTCAAAAGGTAGAAGCTCAGAAAGCCCTCTTTTTACAAGGATATCTAAAACTTAAACCGTAAACCCCTAACCCGTTTGTAGGTCATCTTTGGACTTGCACGCTTGCTTGAACATCTCAAGCTGGCATTACAAATCTGAGTCTCAGGTGTTGGGCTTTAGGGTTTAGATTGAGGGTTAGGGATTGAGGGTTTACTGCTTGCGGTCGAAGATTTAAGGCTTAGGCGTCAGGATTTAGAGTTTGACATTTGGGCCGAGGTCAGCAAGGAAGAATTTGTAGGGTTCAGGGCTGCATGTCTAAGATGTAGGGCTTTGGTTTTAGGATTTAGGGTTTGAGGTTTGGGCAAAGGTCAGCAGGGAAGAAATTGGAGCTTGCAAGAAACTAAGGAGACCAAAAACTAAGGGGTTTAGTGCTTGGAGACATAAACGGTGAGACCCACATTTTGGGGCTCGCTATTCACACCAAGTCGCGAAAATTAGGCAGAATATTATAATAAGCTTCGCCGAAAAGGCGAACCCTACCACGGATTCAAGCCCGAAAGAAACAGAACACGCGCAAACACGTCAGAATTTGTAGTACTGTAAACAGCGCTTCAGGAGCTGACCGACCAATTCCTCGGGTCCCGGTGTATGTGGTCATACAGCAATTCCATCAACGACATTTTGGGGGGAGTGTCAGCGCCCTTTTGCGAGCCCTGCATTCTTCCCAGCATCTTGAGGAGACGATACACATCAACATCGCCTCATGTTGTGACTGCAGAAAAGTGACGACAACAAAAAACTGAAAGTACACCCCTATACGCTAAATCCTAAACCGTTGAACCTAGGTAGGTACACTTCGAAACGCTAGTGTCATTTATGCTCGTATCAATGAGAGACTGCAGCATATGACCTAGCTACAACTTGAAACTTGGCTTGGGCTTTCCTAAACCCCAAACCCGGTTTAGGGTTTAGGGTTTAAACCCTAAACCCTAAACCCAAACTGTGGTTAGGATAGAACAGGCGACAACCTTCCAGCAGAGCTTTGCAACAGGCAGCGCAAACAAGCAATCTTAACCAGGTGTCGCAATTATCTGAGCGAGGTTGCTTCCGTTTCGGGTCTAGGGTCTAGGGTTTATGGCTTATACAAATGGTATAAAGTTCAGGTTGGGAGTTTTGACCGAAATTGGCCGGGTGCTGAATGAGTTTCCGCTTTAACTTTTGCCCTATACAATTTGCATTTATCTGGGCTTGAGGGTTTAGGGTTTAGGGTTAGGATTTAGGGTTTAAGGCTTTGGGCTTAGGATTTAGGATTTAGGGCTTAGGGTTTAGGATTTAGGGCTTAGGATTCGGGGTTCATGACTAGTTGGTCCCTTAATAGCTTGGGCAGTTGGTACCTCCGTTCTGGCAACACCTGGCGAAATCGCTCACGTGAGCAGCAATTGAAAACCAATGAGCCGGTGGCTCTACTCAAATATTCTCCATCTAAACTCAAAACCCTAAGCTCTAAACCCCAAACCCTAAACTCTAAACTTTAAACCCTAAACCGTAAACCCTTCAAGTCTTCTCAACCTACCCTAGAACCCAGGTAACATGATAACCTCTGCTTCGTGTTGGCATGTTCGTAAACATCAACCTCAAAGCTGATGAAGGACTGGCCCCCAGTAGCGGTACCTTCCGCCCTTTAGGTTTAGGGGTTAAGGTTTAGGGATTAGGCCCTATGTAAGCCCGGTTTTCATTCCATGTTCGATGCTCTTTTGCTTGTGGTTATCCATGGTTCCATCCCTAAATCCTAAACCCTTAATCTCAAGACTTAATCCGTAAGCCCTGATCCTTAATTCCAAATCCCTAAGCCCTGATCCCTAAACCCTAAGCCCTAAACCCTCAAGCATACGCCCTGAACTGTAAACATTACACCCTACACTCTAAACCCTGAAGTCTAAATCCTAAACTCTTGCTTGACCGCTGTTGATTGAAAGCCCTTTAATCCTTCTGCAGTCGTGATCATTCAGGCTGTAGGGATTTTATATGGATTAGCAAGGGGCTATATGGGGATAACATCGAGAGAAAAAAGGGATTATATAGGGTTTACGGTAGGGGTTCTATAGGGGTTATGTACTTCTATAAGGAGATTGGAGTTTAGAGTTTAGGGTTTAAGACTATAGGGATATATAAATATAACCCTATCATGGAGAAATAAAATGGAAAGGAACATGAAACGGAGCCTTTGTTTACACAGGGTTTATTGAGTCGGTACTGAAACTCCTGTCTGACCCTTAAGTAATTACCTGATATGTTGGGGAACCCTAAACCCTAAACCCTAAAATGCTCTACCACTTTGCAAGGCCAGGCTAGGATGAATATCTGCGCTCCATGACATTCAGCCTTAAACCCCCAAACCCGAATCTAAAAACCCTCGACCCTAAACTGCAAACCCCAAACTCCTTGTAGAATTACATAACTCCTATAGAACCCCTACCATAAACCCTATATAATCCCTTGTTTCTCTCCATGTTATCCCTATGTAGTCCCTTGCTAATCCTGCGCTAAGCCCTTGGATGTTTGCAGCGCTGCTCACGGGCCATTTACCGGTGGGCGCCATAGAGAATGGCAGGCCCGAACTGGCGACGAAGGTCCTTCAGGATACAGTGCTTTGGGCTTTGGGCTTTGAGGGATATATGGTTCAGGGTTTAAAGGTTTATAGTCCCGCTTAAGTAGATAGAATATGGGGTGTATGGGGATCTTATTATAATATACCCGAAGTCATATTCTATCTACTTAAAGGGGACTATAGGGTTTAGGGTTGATATGGGGTCCGGGCTTTAGGAGGTCCTGCGCATGAATAGGTGATACAGGCAATTATGCGGGTCCACCTTGTTGGGCAGACAGGGACTTTCTTGTGATATGCCTTGGGTACTGCCCCCACCCTGTAGCAATCAAGATATAACAAGGGCTCTATATATATATATATACCTATATTACAAATATCATCCAGCTGGTGCAGAATGGGGGCAGTACCGTTACCCAGCCCAAACCCTGAACACAAAAGCCCAAACACCAAATGCCAGGGGTATTCCTTGATGCTGTTTCGGGCTTTGGGCTTCGCAGACTTTATGCAAAGTTCTATGGAAATAAATGACCTTGTGGCTCAGAACACGGAGAAAGGGCTATGAGGCGCCTTAGGGAATAGGGCCTAGAGTTTAAAGATTAGGGTTGAGGGATTAGGGCTAAGGGTTCGGGGTTAATACAACTGCGTTCTCAAATAGTTTAGGGATTCAAGGTTAGGGATTAGGGCTAAGGGTTCGAGATTAATACAAGCGGGTTCTCAAAACAAGTGGAGCCTTGACAGAAAATGCAGATGCGGCGGTTGGGGGGGGGGCTTGAGCGTGTGAATAAAGCTCTTCTTATATGGGCATGATAAGGGGATAATATGAATGTTCATCTAAGCTTTTACATTCGACCCGAATCTCCGGTAAACTTTTGCTGCCCAGGCAACTTGTCAAAACCTTATAAATCCTAAACCAAGACTTTTGGGCTTGAGCCCCCGCATGCCATGTAATGCATGACAAGCGAGTGCTCAGAATCACAAATTCTAGAACCCTAAACCCTAAACCCTAAACCGTGTTCAGTTGTACCTTTTGCGGTCTGGGCGCTTTTCGGGGGTCTATCCGCTGCCTTAAGCGAAAAGGGATAGTAACTTGAGCAGTGTTTTTTGGTGGTGAAACCCAGTAAGATTATATTCCTTATTTGAAATACTATACCCCAAAAGGAGGATATAATCTTACTCTATAATGGGTAGCATAATACCCCAAATAAGATACTACTCCCTTGTGGTTGCGGTGTTGGGTTTTGGGTATTTGTTACGGTCTTGGGGGCATGGTTCAGGAACTTGGGGTTCCAGACTTTCAGATGCTGTCGAGTCTGCGGCCCCACTTCAACTCGCTGTATCCGCAAGTATCCCACTCCTGACCCTACCCCCCTCCTTTCCCTGCATCATCCCCGTGTTCTTTAACTCTAAACCACCCTTATCCCAAAACCCTGACACCAAACCAGTAATGCTTAAACCCCCCTGAATCCCAAACCCTAAACCTTCAACCTTAGACCCCAAACCCTGAATCCCAAACCCCGAACCCCCAACCCTAAACCCTAAACCCCAAACCCCCAACCCTAAACCAAACCCTCAACCCTTGGCCCCAAACCCTAAACCTAAACCCCACCACCCCCCCCCCCCACCCCGCCCCCCCCCCCCCCCCCTCCCCCCGTCCAGCGCGACTCGAATCTGCTCACGCAGCAAACCTCCAGCCTTCCTATACCGGCTCAGGGGGTCGGCGGCACTGGCGGTAGCCATTAAATAACAATGGCGGGAATATTCTGATAGTGGTCCCATAGACGTGGGTTTGCCGCTGAGACTGCTAAGAAGCATTACAGCGCTTGCTTTAGGTCCCCTTGATTGAAGTCCCCATTCATGGACGGAGCCGTTTTCTGGCCTTGTCGTGCACAAGGTAGCGGATGCTTTCTCCAGCTGCCAAGTGCTGCCGCACAGCGGAGGAGCTGATGCCTCGCAAACCAACATGTAAATCCCGCATCACCTTGCAGTGAGGTATGCGCCGTTTTGAGTTCTCTGGGCCTGTGCGAATGCGAGGCTGCGCGATGGTGATGTGATCAGCGTGTCGGGCCAGAAGTGGGCACTGCCGCACCTCTCTCCGGGCTCTCAACATCCCCATGATTTTTTATGTTTTGAATGTCGGATTGATGAGTAACGGTGAGTAACGAGACTAAGCGGACTGCAAAGGCTTCTAGGTCTTGATCATCTCGCCCCACGACCACCACACCATGCTGTCCAAGAGTTACCTCAAAGAAATGTTGCCACAGGCAATGGCATTACAAACCTCATCTGCTTATTCCACGTGCCATGCCAAGAGCAGAGCATCGAGATCTTCATCCGTCCAGACTCGCTCTCCGCTTGGAGTGGTCGCATTGAAGGACTCGAGCACATCGCCGCCACACAGCATCACCTCAAGCACCCAAACTTCTGAAAGTAAACCGGGAAGAGCAGCGGTACATGTCAAGCTGACCAGCCGGATGTTGCCAGCCCGCGGCCGCGCGTCGCCAATTGAAACCCTGACCTGGCAATGTGGTGATTGTTCTTCACCAGTCTAAACCCGAGCAAGATTGCTGTCAGACTTTGGTTTCGAAGATGGGTCAAAGTCCTGGCATGTTGCAAACTGAGGCGAGGTCCTTTGAAAGCTCATTGGCAAAGCGTGCAATAACCTGCAGAGTGTCATGGAGCCAGAAGCATGTGGCAAAGCTGCCAAAAAGGCCCGAGGCGAAGGCATCAACGGTTGGAGTCCAGCTGTCTTGACACGTGCACTCCCAGCCTCCGTGACTTCAGCGACAGCTTAGCAGGGCTTAATTTGCCGCCAGCGTTTTCGGGTGCCAGACCATCAGCCATCAGCCAGTCCGAATCTGAAACCGCAGCCTCCACCCTCACATGGAAACGCGAAAGCGTGAAAAAAGAAGCAAAAAAATCATCAACATAGGAAATTCATGGGGCACCAGCTGGGGGTTATTTCTGAAGCTGAAATTGTTTCAAGGCCTTGCTTTCCTGCCCTTCCATCCATGCACACCGCGCTGGAGACGCTATCAAGGCTTTGTAGCGAATATTTTGCACACCCAGGCTGTCAAGCAAAGGTTTTTTCTTGCGGAAGGGATAATTGTGAGCTGCGTCATTCTTTTGCAGCGCTGTTGCAACAGGCTGCCCCAGCCTGATCCTGCAACCGGCCACCATTTGGACTTCCACTGGCCAAAACCAAAACAATCTGAAAGCGGAAAGTTTGGGTAGAAAATCGTGAAGTGGGAGATGTGCTGTTCTGAGCTCCCAAAGGTGGGGTGGTGCAGTTGGTCCTCAGACCTCAAACATAGTTCACTGATCTTTGGAGATCACAACCGGTGCTTCAAGTCCAGGAACTGCCAGTGGACAGAAGAAACGCTGCTTCGTAGCCATCAGGGCGTGGTACATGAACATAGTTGCATCCGAGGAGGAGTAACACAGCCAGCTTGACACTCTGCACTAGCGCTGGCCAGGTTTGATCGGGCGCGGGCTAAGGCAGGACCCTGATCTTCTTGGATTTCCATCCACCTTTACGCTCACCTTCCAGGTTCATCCCGGATCGCATTCTTTCTGCCCGTAGGCTCCAGACATCCTCTCTCACCATCTGGTCTTTGCAGATATTGTTGAAAACAACGGTGCTTGAAGATATTGCCTGTCCTTCCCTCATCGGTCTTCCATATTAGGTCTTCAACACCATTCTCAACTTCGTTCATTCTGACACTTAGCGCAAGTTCCGTCTTTGGAATCTCCACGCCGCGGAACAACATAACTTTCCATGTCAAGAGATGTGAGCATTGTGACGTCCGGTAGGATCCGCACATCTTTAGGCGGTGATGTGCGGGCGCCAGCGTTGCCTGCATGTTGTCAAGTGCCGCACACGACCTTCAGCTTGGAACATCCCGTCTTGGCATCCGGCTTTGCCATATTTGTCATGGACTGGCGAAAGGTAGCCTCCTACAATGGAAAATCGTCCTGCACGAGCACTGCAAGCATGCAAAACAGGAGAGCACACATTCCACTCACATCTCTCAGAGGCCTGAAGCAGCTCTTTCGAAAGCGTCACGAGCCTGGTCGGACAGTGCCACATCCCTTACGGCCGCAAAGTAAAGATTGGTGAGTGGAGGCTCCTCCTCGAACATGCGCAAGTGAAGGAGAGTGGGTGGCCTCAGCTGTTATTCTCAAGGAGACATGTTACCTATGCCCACAGTTCCATCTAAGCTATGAGCGAAAAGGAGCCTGGAGCCACAATCGCAACAGGAATGCGGCCTGCTGAGTGGGCGCACTAACATCCGTTGTAAATGCTCAAACAATTAGAGATGCCAAGCTATCAGCTATCTCTAGAGTTGCCGCTCCTGCCTTCTTCTACGTGAAGTTTCAGTTTTGATCGTGGCAGTTTGCAAGCCTGCGGTGCACACCCGCAAAAAGCCTGAGATGCACATCACCGGGGCCACACACAAAGTGAGTGGCCGAACATATCTGCAAAGGAACAGAGCACGATCGCAAGTTAGGGTCTGCAGTCCGGCTTCACCTCCAACATTCTAACTGAAATCAAAGACAGGTCGTTTTCATGTCGCAGCCTGTCTACCTCTGATCACAACAATTTTGGAAAAAAAGTCGGCTGCGGTTGTCGCCACGTCGCTCTTTCGTCCGCTGGTGTGGATGGCGGCCTTGGGGCACTCACACGGTGGGCCCGTTGGTGCTGCCACGTGCTCCACTCTGACACCAAGGTTCAGACTCTTGGCAATGAGATGTTGCACTGGCACAGGCAGCCATCACAACCGTGGCCACGGCAGCCGTGGCTTTGTTCCTGTAGCTCCAGCGCCAAAGTCTGCCTTGGCCTTGGGGCATTTTGTGAACGCATGCTTCTACACCATTCTGCATTCACCAGATTTCACCGCGACATCCCCACCTCTGTACCATCTGTGGACACCGCCGTTTGGCCATGCGGGCGGCATGCCATTAAATACAGCCATGCTGTCACAGCTGTGTGTATGCAAGTTGCACTACTACTTTGCAAACTTGTCTCAATGGCTCTCACTATCTTGTAGGTTTGCAGCAGCATCCGCCCTGGTTGAGATGCAGGATATGTGTGTTGATCCGACACAGCTTGCAGACGTGGAAAGGATTCCAGAATGCATAGCAACGAGCCTGTGAAATGCGGCTCAGCTCAAGATCAGCTGAGCTAACATGACCCTCACTCACGGGACCAGCTGGCCTGCGTATACGTCTTTGCAACCTCCGGATCCGAGAACCACGACCTGGCCCAGAGCATCACTTGATATATCTTCATATCATGTCACCTCCTCATGCAGCTTCAAAGCAGGGCAATGCAGGCAATGGGTGCAACCTGTCGGTTCCGTTCCGCTGACACAGTCGCCCGTGTGCTTGCGTTGTTTACCACAGGCCCGGCTCAACGCCATGACCCCCAGTCCGACCCACTTGCAGTCCAAGGCATGGCAATGGCCCTGTGCGGCATACACCCAACCCGGCCAGATCAATCCTAAGGCAGGTTTCGGATTCAAAGCATGACCTGGTGGTGGACAACTGTCTGGCCGAGAAACTCTTTGCCAGCTCTCTGATTTTCGCCAGCTCTCGCTGGTTGTTTGGGCTGCCTTCTTGTTCCTCTATCTCCCCCAGCGGATCCCGCAGCTCCGGCTCCCGAAACTTGTCAGGAGTACAGCGGTCTGCATTTTGGAGAGCTCCAAAAAAACAAGGCAGGCTGGCGCATAGCTTGGAGCTTTGCCAGTTGTCATCACTTCTGGAAGCGCTCCCATCCGATGGTAAAACTGGCATGCAGGCTCTCACTCTGCATCAGCACATGACCCTCTCCAAAGCCATGTCTTGCTCTCCTGACGACCGATCTGGTACTGCAAGTAATCGCCGTAGTAGTGCTTGGAGGAAGACACCTGCATTGCTGCGCAACTGCAAGCTGGCAAGGTGTCAGGGAGATGCGGCCCCACCATGTACTGAGCCGTGTTTGGCGACAAGGTGTACAGGCCCTCACTGCTGCGTCGTAAGCACTTCCTCATCTGCAGCTGCATCTCAGCACTTTGCGCCCCTGGCCCTCGCCCAAGACTCTTGGCTGCAAAAACTTAGTCTCCAGCACTGCAGTCAGCGCAGTCAGTAGCGTGGTCACTCTCGGTCCTTCAACTCCGCATGCCTCAGTATTCATTCCATGCCATGGGAAATCATTTTGTTCTGCACGCGCCTGCTGCACATCTTTGGCAGGGCATCCTTTCTCGCCGGCAGCTGCTATCTGGCCGCATACGGTGCGCATTCAACAGCTTGTTGGCAGCTACGCCATTTGATCACATACGAAATCAATCCAGACGATTGGCACACACAGTATTGTCGTTGTGCCTTGTCAAAAATGCCCAGCTCAAGAGCTGAGAACAGCGCCTGCGTGTGGCTTGATGAGTGGAATGTCACTTCAGCAGCTTCCAGCTCTCACTTTGCCTGCGATGCCATGAAGCCGTACGCCACGCTATCCAAGTCGACGTCATCCCCGGACTCCCAGCTTTTGCGGGAGAAAGCCCGCGCCTCAGTAACCAGTTCTTGTCTCTAGGGTTTGCTGGAGGCCGGCCAGCTAAGGACCAGGCTGTCTGTGTAAGCGCTGGTAGTTGCTGGGAAGGTAACCGTGAGTGAACTTTCGCATACCTTGAGATGGCCCTGCAGCATAACACCATGCTGGTCCAACCAACAACGCACAAAGCATATCCAGCGTCAACAGAGCGGTCCTTGTCACACCTCTCGCTGCAGCAAAAACGGCCATGCTGACCTCTGCGAGAAGCAGCAACAAGACAAGGCACGCCCCCCGGCAAAGAAAGCTCAAATCAACTGCTGCGGCGGGCTTTCGTCAGGCCGGTTGTTCACTACCCTCTATAAGCTATGCGGTGGAAAACTCTCGAGCCCGGAATCAACAGTGCCGAGCAGCTGTCACCGACACATCAACTGTTTCAGCTCTCTCTTCATCAATCTCTGCTCAGGAAGGGGGCGTCACGTTCATCAAGTCTGCAACATGGCCGGAGCTCGAAGGGGTGCATGAGGGACTACATGATTTGATCAGTTGCATGGCTACCCACTACACATATCATCAGTGATGCTTTACAGTCAAATCATTGTACGCCGGTCTGTGGGCCTGACCATGCCTGACCTAGGTTATTCCTATCAGTACTCGATGAATGAACTCTAAAGCTCTGAAAACGTCTCAGGTATGCGCAAGTAGTTCACGTGTCAGCCAGCAAAAGAATCTCGACTTTCTTGCAACCAGCGCACTGGTGCAAAACTACCTCCAACGCCATCCTACAACCTCCATCTACCTGCTTCGTAGATTGCGGAGCAGTGCATCTGGGTGAAGCACTTGGGGAAATTGATTGGTGAAGGAAACGCACGCATGGCCTTAAAACCTGCGCATGCTGCAACGGAGCGAACCATCTTGCTGTCGCTCTGAGGAACTTTCCTTTGTCCTGCGAAATTGTAGTCCACACGTGTTGTGTAAACATCCGCAAGGAAAGGTGTTCAAAAAATGATACATGTATTGATGCCCTGGCGGATGACGACAGGCATCTTCAGGAGATGGTGCACTGCAACCATGGCACTAGTCAGAACATGCCACCATCACAAGTCACTGCGCATGCTGTCTGTGGATAATGGAGTTCCCGGCAACATCCAACACAACCTCGGCCAGCAACTTAGCTTCATCATCTTGCAGCATTGAGGGCAGTGGCTCAGTCTACATACATGTACATTCCGCCTCTGCAGCAAATCATGCCACTTGCCAGCCAGATACAGGCCACCAGCGATCAAGGCAGTAGAGCACAAGGAGAGAACAAGCAACCTGAAACTTTCCAAGCCACATGGCAAACATGTAAGGAGGAACGGTTCCCGTCGGCCTGAAATCGGCAGGCACGGCGGACTGCGTGTCGATTGTACCTCAGACTGCATAGATGCCCACGACTTCTCGTTCGCTTGGAGATGGCTTCAAGCTCAGAACCGCTCTCCTTTGTTTGCCATTCTGAGTCCGGCTGAGTCCAGACTTGCACAGCCCTCGACCCATCGCCTGACATGAAGTGTCTGTAACAATAAAATCTTGGGATGCTGGAAGGCATGCCATCCACACCAGGGTCCAGTAGAACTGCAGGATCACCACTGCAGCGAATGCAAGGCTGGCCTAGTGGAACACGCACCGCTGACTCATGCTTTGTATTAACAGACAGCAAGCTTTTGACTAATTAGTTGCCATCACCACGGCATTCCCGCTTTAGCAGGATGAGTCTCTTGATCAGGTAAGTGCTTTTGACACCACTCAGAAGTAGGCGTAGCTCCTGACTGCGGGCTGTCTCACCTTTTGCCAAAGGAAGTTGGAGGCAAGCTACTGGCAAAGACTGAGCCTAATTCGCACACTTGCCTCGACTACAAGTATCGAGAGAGCTTCTGGAAGCGCCTTGACAACATCTGTCGACAATTGATGAGCTGATCATCCCTTGGGCTCTGAGCAGCCGACTGCAAGAGGCGAAGCCAATGCAAATGTGCTGACCTTGCTCTGCTTCTGAGCAATTGTTCTAGCCAGAAAACAGGCAAGTAAGGGCCGGTCCAAAAGAGCAGTTCCAAGAGCCGGAAACCATACCAAACGTATGAGCCCCTGGGTGACTGCAAATGCACACAGCGTGTTACTGGACATCCTCCATACTGAGAAAGTCTGACCCACAACTCGGAGCAAAACTTTTTACTGATGATGCTTTGCGTCATCACGCTACAAGAGTCTGAGTCGCTGATTTAGGTCGTGGATTTTCCTTTGAAAAATGCAACGACCACTAAGCAAATGTGTGCCTTCAAGAGCCAGGATGCTTTCAAAAACTGTACATTGCCCCAATTCTGGCACACCAGCAAGACTTCAAAGCTAAGCACCTTTCACGCCAGATGTGCTTACATCGGGCATCAGCCGCGACCGCCTGTCAAACACAAAACAACCTGCAGGAGACTCCAAACCTTTGGCCCCTTGCCCACACTGCTACGCATCTCAACAAATCTCAGATTTGTGAGGCTCCAGTCATCTCCGCTGTATCTGCACTGGAACATGGGGACCCCCGAAGGCCTTTGGAAGTACTACACATGACTGGCTGGCTTGGACTTATGAGGGCGTTCAGGAATGCAATCAGGCAAGTGTGAGGCACATCATCATTGGCATAATATTCCATCGTAATGAACTCCTTCTGCCTTGACTTTCGCCCTGATCCCTCGTTTTAGGATTTGTGGTCTGCTGCTCTCTGGCCATCAACCTGCCTGGGTCAAGAGCTTCACCCGTACTAAGAGCCTTGTACCAATGGAGGTGTTGCAAAGATTCTCCTTTTACGCCACCAAGCTTCTGCTCTGGGTCGCGCGGGGACAACTGGATGCGGGGCTTGTAAGTGCCTATTCCTTACTTTGCGACTTCAAGGCCCATTCCTCGTCAGGAGATTAGGTAGTCCTCGTGCCCGGCTTACCACTCAAGTCAAAATGGAAGCATGGTGCAGTAGCCTGCTGGAGCAGCATGAGCTCGCAACCTCCCAAGCATTAGCAAGTCTCCTAGACGACTGCCTTCAGTCGCTGAGGTTCCCGGCTCTGGGTCCGCCACTCCACTCGCGCGGTCTTTCTGCTGCAGGCCAGTCTCTGAAGAAACAAAGAAAGAGCAAACGTCGCTGGCCCTCCACGCCTGGCAAACTTGAGCTGGACTCGAGCGCTCTGCCAGCCACTGTAGCATGTAAACTTCCGGATCCTGGCAAGCCACCCGCAAAGACAGAACTTGTGCCATGCCCTGCTACTGCTGGTCTGCTGAGAGGCCATCAAGCAGAGGCGTACACAACTCGGTCTCCTGGGGCTTTTCCTGCAGAACCGCGTTCATCATCTTGGTCACGAGGCGATCCAGACCATGCTTGTCTACATACCTGGACTGGGGTCCAGTACAGCTTCCACTTACAACGGCCTGGTTGCCTACCATGCCCTGCCTCTGCGCCTCTTCTTGACTCTTTGCAAGTGCCATCGCTCAAAGAACGATGGAGTCGTGCTGCCGGGCCCACAATACTCCGCGGCATTCAACACAACATGACTTCCCGTAGACTTTGCCACCCTCAAGAATGTCTGACTGACACTTGACCTACAGCTGACATGGTTCATCATGAAGCTTGTGCCAAAAATGAATTCTTGAGTCAAGGACGGCATGAACACTGCTAGTCGGGTCAAAGTGAAAGCCAAGGCCAGCACCCAGGTCAGATAAAAGCCCAGTTCACACCAGGCTGGATGTCCCAGGAGTCTGCGAAGCGTCAGCAGCACTGTGTTTACCTGTAGTGCCAGCATGAAAGCAGAAGCAGTCACCGAAACCACCTGAGCATCATGACCTCGCACTCCTTTGGCTTCTGAACCATGCTCAACCGAACGCTACTTTCCCTGCTCTCCAGCTGTTTGTGTAATTATGCGCATTTCTGCTGTAGATGATTTCTGGCTGGGCAGGGAAGACTTGCCAGTCACTGAGACCTCGCTGTGGATCTCATAGATAGTGTAGATACTTGGCAGGGCTTTCCGTAGCCCCCCAACCAAGCCCATCGGTCCTCAACCCAAAACAAACCATGAATCACATTTTGTCGCGGCTTCAGCGCTGCAGATGTCGACCGCGCTTGAACTAGCTTATCACAGTTCTACATAGTTCCACCGCGTAGGCAGCACTTTGCACAGTCAACCTGCAGTAATGTCAAACAGAGCTGTCCGCATCTGTGAAGACCCAAACCGCTCATGTGGTTTGCAAGGTACCTCCACAAGAAGAGCCCGGCTCGCGTTGACTCGGTGGCTGGCCTGACACCAGCTCAGAGATCCACACCATAAAGCTCCCTTCAAGCTCGGAAAACAAGAATGACAATGGCTCCAGTGTACGCCGTCCTGCTCTCTGGCTGCACTGGACTGATCACAGTACAAAGATCGTAGTACAAACAGAGGACCGATCACAGTACGAAAGCGGATCAAGTTTAGCACAAACAAAAACAATGCAGGCAAGCCTCATGCGCTGCCTTACGTACCCCACACCCTTTGCTCCTTTCCCGACCCTACCCTTACCCTACCATGCCCAACCCCTACCCTACCCCAATCCTGCCCTCTAGCCCTCCCCTGCCCTCCCCCCACCTGTCCTGCCCCTGCCCTACCCTACCCTACCCTTCTACCCTACCCTACTATCCCATACACTACACTACCCTCCCAACCCCCCTACCCTGCGGCCGAAAGTCCTGGTTTGCCCGAACTATGTCGTGAAGCTCAACTCCCTGCCCGCTGCCAGTGTTTTCTACATCCACACTGCTGATTCTCCCGACAAAATCCGCGGAACCATTTTACAGAATCAAGTCGCAAACAAGTTCAGAAATTCAGGCGTTTGACCTAAAACCCGTAAACCCAAAAAAAACCAAGCCCTAAGTGGCCCTAAACCCTAAATCCTAAAACACCCTAAACCCAAAAACCCCTAAACTCGAATCAACCCTATACTCAAAACCCTAAAGCCTAAAAAGCCCCAAACCCCAAAAAACCTTAAACCTAAAACGCCCCTAAACACTGTAAAATCCTCTGAGCCCTAAAAACAAACAAGTCATAAACAGCCCCAAAACCTAACTACCACTAAACCCTAACAAAATCCCTAAACTCCAATTAACCGTAAACCATAATGATAAACCTTAAGCCTAAAGAACCCTAAAGCCAGGCCCTAAATCTCAAAACCCCGCCTAAACCCTAAAGAGCCCTTAGCCCAGGAAAAGCCTAAAACCCTAAACACCCCTAAAAACACGGAATCATAAAAGAAAAAATAAACCTTAAAACGCCCTAAGCCCTAAACACCCCTAAACCATAAACCCTACAAAACGCTTACAAAAACTAAACCCTGAAACACACTGAACCAAAAAAACAAAAATGAACCCCTAAGCCCTAACAAAGATTAAACCCCCCAAACCGCCCTTAACCATAAAAAGCCCACACCTTGATAGACCTTAAACCCAAAAACCCTCACCCCCAAAAAAATAAACCCTAAAAACCGCTAAACCCTAAAAAGCCATAAACCCTACAAATCCTTAAACCCTAAAAGTCCAAACCCTAAAAACCCTACACCCGAACAGCCTCTCACACCCACAAGCCTAGAAACAAAAATAAACCACAAAAGGCAAAATCTTACAACCCCAGACCCTAAAACCCTAACAGGCTAAACCCTGGACCCCAAAAAACCCTATAATAAATAGGCCCTAAATTACTAAACCCTAAAAAACCCTGAACCCTAAACTCCAAACCCCCCAAACCCTAAAAATCCCAAATCCTAACACACCAGAAAACCCTCTTTTTTAACTAAGCCCTAACATAAACCCCTAGGCCCCAACAAGCCCTAGACCCTAACAACAAAACTCTAAACCTCAAAAAAATCACCAGCCCCTGAAAACTCCTAAACCTTAAGAAAGCCACAATCCCTGAAAACCAGTAACCCCTAAACACTAAAAAGCTCTTATCCTTGAAAATGCCCTCACCCTACAAACCATTAAAGCCTACAAAACTACCTTAAAGAGCCCTAAACCCTAAAAAAACACAAGCCCTCAACCTTAAAAACGCTAAGCCCGAAACCTTAAACGCCCCTAAACCCTAAACACCCCCAAACCCTTAAAAAACGCATGATGCGTGGGCGAACCAAGACAGAGGCGGCTACCTGCGTACTCCCACCCTTACCCTTCCCCACCCAGTATGAAAGCAAGTGCGATAATGGGGGTGGAGGAGAAAAAACAAAAGCTTCTTCAGGTATGGAGAAAAGGTTCGGCAGTACCCCCATTCACAGCCACACTCCCTCTAAACTGGCAGTAAGTTGAGCTTCCACAACTTCACAACTTGGAACAAAACTGCAACCAGCTCGGTGCTGGTCCGAAGCTATTGAATTCTCACTGTACAGCCCGAGGTAAAAAAGTAGGGTTTGTACTTTGTACTTGTGGTTGTACTGTGATCCGTCCGCTTTGTACTGTGATCGGCTCTTGGTACGTTGATCGGACCAAAGGCGCTGCCCAGGCCCTTGTCGGCTTGATAGATTCTTCTGCAGCTTCGGCACATGCTCCAGAGGATCCACTATGACGATCAGGGTCACCTGACAACTGACAGGTCAACTGAATCCTGAGGGAAGTTTGCACGTATCAAGGCCAGGACCAAGTGATGCAAGATGATGCTGATTGGCGTCTTGACCTGTGTGACACCATCATGCAAACCGCTTTAGGGGATTATCAACACCACAGCATCTGGTTTCGGCTCGGAAAAGCCCAACGACAGCACCCGGAACACTGTTGAATATCACTGATGTCAGGTCATGATCTCACGGTTGTGGCATGAATCGTCTGGTCCGTCGATGTCCAGCCCAACAAGTGCAACAAGAGGCTCTATTCGTGTGGCCCTACTCGGCTCTCAACCCCTGTCTGTGGAAGTCATACTCCGCTGGCTTGGTACAAACCCAATCGTCTGCAAATCTGACATGCAAACTTTTGTTTGGTCCTGAGTGGTTTGAAGTGGCTCAGGCTGAGGCCATCTTCGGCTGCAGCATGATCCAGAGAGCATCGCTGATCAGATACGCGGCGGTCACAGCCACGACTATGGTGTGAAGAGCTGACTCCTGCAAACTCTACAAGTAAGACATGACTGCCTGTTAACCTCTCAAAATCGAAAGAAAAATTTCTACTATGGTGTGAAGAGCTGACTCCTGCAAACTCTACAAGTAAGACATGACTGCCTGTTAACCTCTCAAAATCGAAAGAAAAATTTCTATTCTGTATGTTGAAAGAATCGGTGATTAATCTGTGATTCCAATCTGTAAAAAATTTGTGACGTCTTGATTTCCAAACGTCATCATAATTTAAAAATCCGTGAAAACCTGTGAAAATTCTACGGGAAATCTGTGAAAAAATGTGAAAGTGTGTGAATAATCTGCATCTGTGAAACATTCGTGAATCTGCGGAAAATCTTTGAATGCTCTGCGAAAAATCTGTGAAAAACGGTTAAATCTGTGAAAATTATGCGAAGAATATGTGAAAATTGTGAAATCTGAAACTATGCGACAAATCTGTGAAAACATCATGAATCTGTGAAAAATCTGTGAACCTGTGCAAAATATGCAAAAAATATGCAAAAATCTGTCAAAAATATGCAAAAATCTGTCAAAAATTTGCCCAAAAAAAAAACTGTGAAAAATGCGGAAAGTCTGCGAATCTGTGAATATCTGTGAAATTGCAACAAATCTGCGACACATCTATGCTTTCGTGCCAGGGCCTGGGGTTGGGCCTACGGCTCTCGGGGGGCCTTGGAAGGGCTTCGAGGATCGTGGCCAGAGCCCCAAGCCAAAGCAGGGGCCTTGGCCACTGGGCCCCGATCACAGTAAATCACCTTTTGTGCATGGAATATTCTGTCGGGCTCTAGCGTGCCGCAGATAAACCAGAAGCAGCACAAAAAAAGCACAAATAAATCACAGTCCAAAACCTGCACATCCACATTCACAAAAAGATCACACTTGCCCATCACTCTCAAATCACACATAAATCACGGAAAAAATCCTGAACCCTCTCCCAGACAATACAAGCAAACCTGGTTATAACTACTAAGCAAGACTATCAGGCTGATCAAAATGATCCCAGCAGACTTTCAGTCCTCTCCAAACCACAGACCAAGCACGCTTAGGACAAAGATTGCTGTCAAAGCCTGGTGCCATGATCTCTGCAAATTCAACTTGAAGCAAGAGGTCGCAACCTGTGCTGAGACCCTCGCAGCGACATTGCTGATGTCATGAAGAAGCCCTGCTGTCAAGGGCCTGATCGGGGCTGGAAGTGGACACGAAGCCTGGCTTATCCTCCCTTCCCTTTCAAAATCGAATGATGGCTTTGTATTGGTTTTATGTGTTCCACATGTTCCCTGCCGGGGTGCCTTCGCTCCGCCACAGCTTTCCCAAGTACGGACATGGCAGCTGCGATGAGACAGCTTGTGAGATCGCAGTGTAGTCGTATGAGAACATCTACGCTCACCGCCAATGCGGCCTGCTCTTGAGGCACTGGTATCACGCCAAACAGGCGGTGCACGAAGCCATGCTGTAGTATGTAGTGCGGCGGAGAACTACACATGATTCTTTGACTAGAAGTCATTGGCTCTGCTTAGGCGTGTGCAGTCATGGAGTCCTGAACCGAAGCTGCATTTGGTGACCGGTAGATGCAAGTGCCATGACTGCAGCGTAGGCTCCTTGCAGAGTGCTGTGGCAAACGGCTTCTTGTATTAAGTTTTGGCTGGTAGAGACATGTTGTCCCTTTCCGACCGAAAGATTGTCTCAGAGCTCTCGGGTCTATGTACATTTGAAAGCTCTGCCTACAGTACAAATCTACAAGTCCACCAAGGCAGAATTTGTCTCGGGACCGGCGAAGCTAATCAGCTAATCTTCGTGCATGATTATTCTGTCCAGCACCTTCAGCTTCTGCATCATCCATCGCGAGCGGTGAGTTCGCTCATGCTTGACGTCTTGCTTCAGCGGCGCAACTGGATCTCCTCGCTCTTTGGCCCTGTCAACCAGTGTACGGGCCAGCGTCTCGTTCAAGTACAATAGGCTGCCATTTGTTAGCACCAAGACTCTTGCTTCACAGCTTTGTACCCTCACTTCACATCCAGACACATACGGGCACTCACCCTTCGGATCATACAGAGCTGCAAGCCCAAAGCATTCGCCCACATGCAACTGAGAAAGTTCCAACTCCGGCGGAGCAACTCCCAAGAAGGGCGCTGTCCGCTTTTGGCGCAGCGCTGCGTGCCAAGGAGTTCCGCGGCGTGGGGTTCCTGGCTTCCGAGGCGTCAAGCGAGAAGCTCGCTGGGCTCCGGTTCCACTTGTTGCAACTGACGCAGTCTTCGGTGGAAGCAAAAGGGGTCGGTCTCCAAGTTGGAACACAGGCAGCTCTGAGCCGCGCTGAAGCCGAAGCCGGTTTTGGCCTTGTTGGCTTTGCTGGCTTTGCAGGGTATCTTGCTTCGGTGCAAGCTTTGGCAAGGCTTTCGGCCGGGGCGGTTTTCCAGGATTTCGCCTCTTTGCACTGCCAGGCCTTGACTGGGCTGGCGAGGCCCTGGAGGGTGTCCCTGAGCCGGAGTCTCCATCAAGCAGGCTTCCATCCCGCCCAGGCAAGTGGCCCATGCCAATGATGCGCGAGACATCCTCGATGCTACCCATGCCAGCCTCTTGGTCTGCACTAGGAACGGAAACGCTGACGTAGCCCTCTGAGATCAGGAAGCAAGCTTGCAGTGCCTCCGGAGCACATGCACGAGCGCAAGCAAGGAAGCCAAGAATGTGACATCGGCGCACGGCTCCACTGCGGGGGGTGATATGGGGTAAGAAGTTGTTAACCTCGGCATTGATTAACCTGCACGCTCGTGGATCGAACTCGCTTCATCAAGCGGCACAGCCTGCCCGATCTCCACGAAAACATCGTCATACCGCAGCACAATCTCCTGCAGCAGGAAAAGCTGAGTCATATCTGGTGTACCGGTCTTGGCAAACAGCAGCTTGGAAGTGCAAACACGTCTTCCCGTCACCACCTGTTCCTCTGCTCTGCCTGCCTCTAGCTTGAATTTCTACCCACAGCATCCAAAAATCGTGCGCTCGGATGTGCGTCATTGCTGGTACGTTCTAGTACAGAAACAGCCTCCACGTTGGAAGCAAGCAGTGCCAAGTTGTTGATGCTGGCCCCAGAGAAGAGGGAGGAGCTCGCTAAGGCCTGCACCTGTAAAAACTCGTTCTCTCCAAAACTTTCGGCAAAAGCTCCTTGCTCCAAAGCCTTCCGCCGCACATCGGGCAACAATGCAGCAGACTGCTCGTCCTGCCGTTCTAAGTGCCATACAGACTGCCAGAGATGTCAGAGACAGAGGCCAAGCAACTCCTGCTCATCTGTTTGCTCCTTTGGCTCCCTGGCAGATACATGTTTGCCAGGATGAGACAGGCAACGCAGACCGCTCCTGCGCTCTGCGTCATTGGCCTGGTCCAACAAGCCCATTGCCTTCGCAAGCACAAGGACAACCCACCAAGAGCCCCAGAAAAAAAAACAAACGTTTCCATCGCCTGGCGGTAGTCTCCTGCACAAATCCGCCTGAGCTGCGCAGTATGCATGCTCATGATACCCTTCTGATTTGTTGGACGCTTGAATCTGTGGCCCAAGCAGGAGGCAAGTGTCCTGAAAAATTCGAAGAATCTCCAACAACACCTTTGAATGCTCCAGAAATTATGTGTCAGTTCCTACTGCAAAGCCTGCCTCCTGCGCCAGTGCTCCAGCCTTCCGGCGGGGAGGACCCTCCTGCAGCAGCTCCAAGCACTTCACATACCCTCGCGCAAACGTTGCTGGGGATCAGGCCTGTGCATCCCTCCACGCAGCAATCTGCAAAAGCAGTCGCTCATGATGCCGGTCTCAGTCTCACACCACAATGCACCTTTGCATCACCGAACACTTGGCCGTCGTAGAGGGTCTCAACCTGCCGGTTCAGCTTGAGCTGAGAAAGTTTTTGTCTTAGTCCGAACCGGGACACGGACAGGGATGACATCTGGTCCAAGCTCTGGCATCAAGATCTGACCGGAGATTGCAGGCGCCCCGAAGATGTCTTTGTATGAGCTGCTGAGGTCCCGACCTTGATAACTACGGAGCCTTTGATGACGATGTAGATATGCTCCCTTAGTGAGTCCCCTTCATCTGCCGCCTTGCATCTGCTTGGTCTGCCAGGCTTCCCGCGCAGGGTCACCCTGCTGGAAGATCACACCTGGGGAGGGTCGCTTGAATGGCGAACGGTCAAGGCTACGGCAAAGGTTTGCTGCCTGCACTATGTTGCAGGCTCCTGCCTTGCTTGCCGAAAGCCCTTGAAATCTTCAAAAAGGGCCGATGACAGATTAGCTCTTCTACGTGACCTGGCTAGAATCCTGACAGAAAGCTATGTAATGGACCATGTTTAAAGCGCCGTTTGGGGTGAGGTCAGGCGAGGTTGTTGTAGCTTGGCCAGCTGAATCCAGTGCACAGAGCTGGATCTGCAACAAATGGAGACTGCAGACGAGACAAGATAGTTGCGACCACAGGACCGCGCCCAGTCAGGGAGTTGTGAGGCCACGTTCTGTTTAGCTTTGCCTCTTAACTGCATGCCATGTACCTTGATCATGAACATTGGACAGAGGTGAGCCATGAACATACATTCATCATCTCCTGCTCCCCCTGCTCCTCCTCCTCCTCTGCCTCCTCCTCCCGCCTCTCGCTTGCTCTCATTTCGCTTCCCAAATGTGCTGTACGCAGATGCTAGTTGATGGTGTGACCTCAGGCCCGAGGAACGGGCATCCGGCTGAAACCTCAACCAGCTCCGCGGCTTGGAGCAAAGCCACTGCCTTTTCCTTGGCCATCGCTTGCCTCAGCACGAGCTTTCATCTTAATATGTGGGACTCATGTCGATGCTTGGCAAAGCCAATTCTCAGCTGGGGACATGCAGGGCCTCGGCAAGCGGAGCACAGGCAAAGCCAGTGGAGGCAGTGGCTGCAAGGTCATGCCCGAGCACAAGGCAGACCTTTGACGGCTGTATATGCACGCTGGGCAGCCTCGCTTGAGATACAAAAAGGATTGTTGGAATTCAGGCTCGACCTCAAGTGCACCTTCCGTGGAGTCTGGTCATCGAGGTCGTCAAGAATATCGTCCTGTGCCCGGTGGCTCAGAGTAAGAGACAGGATGGCCAGCAACGAGTTCTGCCTGGGAATCTTCTGAGTCAGACTCCTCGCCGCCGCAAATGCAAAAAATCTCTCGGGAAGGATCATGCGCGTTACACGTCAACAACAGTTACTTCGGCCTGTCTGCGAAGCAAAGCTGTTAAGCCGTTCACAGTCCACAGGACCCGTCACATTATGTACTGTCCTCACCCCAGTCCGACACAGCCTCCCCAGCATTGACCTGCGCAAAGCAATGGAGAAGTTCTTCTCATTTATTCTCGCTTTGCAGGATGATTCCTGCCTTGGCCAGGTCCGCATATGCCTTACGCATCACCTCAAGCTCCTCGTGGCCCCAGCTTCAACACCCTCGCAGCTCGCACTTGGACCGCCCAAATGTGATCAATTGCGGTCCATGGGTAAGGTAAGTAGCATACCGAACTTGTTGTGGTTTCGGTCTTCAGCTTCAGCCACACCATCAGGCTGTTCAAAGTGGCTTATCGAGCTCTTAGGCGTCGTAAGGAAATAATCGATTTCGCCATGGGGTCCTCTAATTATCACCTTACCAGCGAACCTGCACGTTTGAGTACATATGGGCGGTCAAGTTTCGGACTCCCGCAGCGCAATCTGAGAATCGGATGGCTTACCTGGTGTGTGTAGGGTCAACTTCTCTCTTTTGTCAAATGTCCGCTTGTCACAAGTGTGGAAGGTCCAAGCCTGGTGGATACAAAGAGTACGGGGTGTAAGTAAGGATCTTGGCTGCCTGTGGTAAACTCTATAGATGCCAGCTGATTAAGGGTATGAAGGCCTATCACACGCATAGCTTGATAGTGCCTGATTCTTTGTCTCCCGTCACCAGGGAAGTCTCAAAGACCAGATGCAGAAAGATCAAAGAGAATTTGGGATGCGAAAGGGATCGGGATGTTCGTGTCACAGTGCTGGATGAAATTTGGAAGTCGTCAAGTACGGCTTACCAGTAAGCTTCCTCGAAAGCTTCTACGAGTCAAGGGTTGAAAGTTTGGGATCGGGAAGTCTAGGTTCGACCGGGGGATTGTAGTTTGCGCCAAGAGATGACAGCAAGCAGTCAGCCAAACAAAGTCTAACTTGGACATCTCATTAACAGGACTTGACATGAGCAGCTCTGGTCGTGCAAACCAACGGGCCGCACTGTCCTGAGGCGTGAGCGGCTGCCATCTTGCCTGGCAACTGGACACGGGAAGTCTGCTTTTCTTGAAACAGAAGCCACGGAATGGACGCTGACCCTCTTGCTGGAGATAGCTTGCTCCGAGTCTTCACCTCCGGAAAGGAAGCAAGGAAGCAGCCTTTATGAGGGATCCGCAGATGACATGAAGCCCTTGCCCTGGGTCTGGCGTGTCCATCAGAAATACTTATAAGAGTCTGAAGGCCCCAGCTGTACGCATGGCGCCGTCTCCAGGGCGGAATGACTTCCTCCAATCTGTCAGTCACCCAGACCTACACTGACACCCTGAGGCAGCTACAGTAAGAAGCTTTCCAGCAAAATGTGCACAGCAAGTCCTCCGTGGTGTCGTTGCTGCGTAGCGCGGCCAAATCCTTACGCATCTGCCAGGCCTGCTTGGATTGAGGAGGAGCCGAAGGAAGAGGAATAAGGAGGAGGAGGAGGAGGAGGAGGACAATACACTGAAACATGTTGGGGGAAGCATGCATGAATCCAGCTTCAGCCTTTCACATTGTGCTAGCCAAGAAGATAGCGCAAGCGTCAATTGACCACATGAAGCGCTTCAAGTCCAGCTCTAAGTAGGTCAATACATTGGCAAAATGAAGCTAATTATGCGGACCTCATGCTACAGAGGCATGAAGTCCTGCTCTCAGGCATCCTCTAACAACTGACGAAGCCTATGGAAGCCTCCCTGATTTCTTGATTGCAACTTGCTCGAAACGAGCAACAGGTCTCGGGGTTTCTCATGCCGTGCACGTCAAAGCCATCTGAGGCAGAGATTCTGGCTTCGTAGAGCAGCAGCTGCACATGCTTTTGCAGGGGCGTAGGCGTGACAGTAGAGGACGTCGTAGTCATTGTCGCCAATGGCATTCCGTGCCGCCGCTGTGATCACCCTCGCCTTACCCTTGCCCTCACCCTCGCCCTCACCCTCGCCCTTGCCCTTGCCACCACCGAAACCACCCGTGGCCGCTGCCGCTCACAATCCACCACCACCACCACCACCACCACCACCACCCCCGCCGCCACCGCCGCCGCCGCCGCCACTGCCACCGCCACCGCCACCACCACCACCACCACCACCACCACCACCACCACCGTCTCTGCACGTCCCCACTCGTCACCACACGTCACCGCACGACATAATACGTCCCCACACGTCACCACACGTCACCACATGTCACCACGTCGCCACATGTCACCACTCACATAGCCCGCCACCACCTGCCACCACCCGCCACCACACGCTACCAAGACCCGCCACCACACCCCACCACACCCCACCACACCCCGCCCCCACGCCACCACACCCCGCCACATGCCACCACCTGCCACCACCTATACCACCACCGACTCACCACAACTGGATGGATGTGGGGGTGGTTGCAGGTGGCGGTGGTGGCAGCAGTGGCAGCTTCTGCTGTCATGATGTCTACGTCATCCTGAGTAGTAGCTGTCCTCGTCACCATCACCATTACCATCGCTGCATTTGTCGCATTCGACGTGGGTCGTCGCCGGGGTTGTCATCATTACAACTGGCGCTGCCGCCGCCGCGGCTGCTGCTGCCGCTGCTAGTAGCTGTGATAGTTGTAGTTGTAATTGTTGTCGTCGTCGTCGTCGCCGTCTTCGCTCTTGTCGTCCTCGTCATCCAGGCTGACAGTGGCACTACCAATAGTATGGACGCAAGTACGACACAGTATCTCGACAACGACAAAGCCCCAGGTTCCTTAATTTCATCAAGCCTGTTGCAAGTCTTGCATACCATTAAAGTAGGCGGGCGCTGTTTCGAGCGATGGCAGAAGCAAAGGAGCAACGACAAAGCTGCCAACATAGTCAACACGTGCGTCCAACAAACACGAGCCCTGTTGGCACCAGCCGCGCCAGCTTTTGGTGGCACTAGCCACATGGTCGTAGGGCATGGCATAGCAAGATGGGCCAGGCAAAGCACAAGGATGTCGTACCATTTCCTCCAAGTCTCCGTCCTGAGCTATGTAGTCACCATTATACCGTATACCGCCCTGACCCTCAGAAACAGATGTTGGTGCACAGTGCACAGTGCTTGCAAATTGCGCGTTACCAGAACGAGAAAGGAAGCCTGAATCGAATTCTGAGCAGATTTTGACTCACAAGGAATCAAATCAGATGCTGGCCTCCAGCCGGCTCAACATCCTTACTCCATGTCCAGCTGTGCAAGCTTCGTCAAGAAAAAACAACACATGAGGGCTCTCTGCATAGTCTAAGATCTGTACTGGTGTCGCCCAGCAGCTGGCCGTCTCCTTTCCACATTACATTAGCGCAACTTCAAGTTGCCATGTCCAAACAAGACACGTTCAAAGTCCTCTGCTGCTTTCCAGAGCCTGCAGCAGATCCAGAGTCTGGCCTGCTTCTTCCCTTGGAAGAACCTTAACTGGCATCTGTCACAAGAGGATCTGATTGGGGATGTTGGGGTAAATGAGTCGATTACTCTGCAGATCCAGCCGCCTGATCAATGTGGCGTAGGCACTGGCCCCTCACTAAGCCTCACACCAAATCGATTACCAGTGCTGCGTTTGGATGCCAGGATCTTCGTCAGGTCCTGGAGAACCACGCTTTCCATCCAAAAATGCCTTAGGCAGGACTCCTTCTTGGTCCATAGCAGCAATCGATGATCTTCTGCACTCAGGTCCTGTCACATCACTAGTTGAGCATGCGTTGGAAGTCCTTGCTGAGCTATGATGACCACCCTCCTCGGCATTTCGCAGGGCCTGAATATGGAGGTTGAAAAGGAAATTTACAGCATCTGAAGAGCTTGCTCCACCTGATCAATGGCCACCAGGGCGTTCGACCGATCACGAATCCGCAGGCAGCAGTATGTCAGGTTCAAGTGTGCTGCTGCCCGGCTTGGGTCGAGAGCGACTGCCTGCTGCCAGCACGCAGATGCAACGGATGTGTTGTGATATCTGCAAATTTTGCTTCATCATCTACTAGTCTACTACCTGGCCCCGCCTGCTCCAGCATGGCTCGGGCAGGGCGAGGCTGATTCAAGGACACCAGGCAACACGCCAAATTCACCAGGCAGTGGTATCTTCGCGATCTTGGTGGTGCAGGCTTAGGGTGCGGATTCTCACTTAGTTCAAGAATTCTGAGTGACCGTCTCCGCCGGAGGCAGCGACCGATAGTGGAGAATAGCCTGTCAGGCGCAGCGCCATGCACTTCAGAGCCCAAACTGGAGCTAGGACCTGGGCGGTTTTGGTTGATTGTCACTCAGCCAACCAGCCCGTTGCCGTTCACTCTGCGTCAAATGATGTTAAATGTACAATTGACTCGGACCGATTGAAAGAGCTGCCTTCTCCAGCTCAGCCTGGTCGAGCGCCGCCTGCACCTACGGGCTGGCATTGGCGGTGGCGGGTGTTGAGAACGGATGATTCAAACCACGGCTTGCGTCACGCCAAGGCATCAGAAACCTGGGAGCTCAACCTAGACAACAATTAATCAGGGTTTCCACGTGGCTGGCATCCCGGGGCACCAGGAAGATTGGAAACTCATCGTCTGCTTCCCAGGACAGCTGAAAGGCAGCTGCCTCAGCCAGAAGCGTCTACTTCCATGTGTTGTGAAGGAGCAGAACTGAGCAGGGAGCTGGATCCTTCTTCAGCTGATCCCGCTGTTGGAGAATAGCATCTTGCTGTTGTCGCTGCCTGCCAGTGGCATTTGGCACTTTGCTGCGAGCCATTCATCTCATCTATGCCATGTGTATCCATGTGGTCCATGTCAAGATCGGGGCCTGTTTTCAGAAGCCATGGCTGTCCAATCCTGGCCCGCTCGTCTTCTGCTGGCCGCCTCGATCATTAGAACATTGCGAGCTGATGGAATGGATGGGTTCGTTTGCTGACGGCTACAACATCAAGTGTAGAGCCCGAGCTCTGCATATGCCCGAACGCGGCTTGCAATTCCCAGCAGCCAACTATGTCTGCATGAAGCAAGCAATAGATGCGAAGTGGGTCGCTGTTACGATTTTGTAAACATGCCCAATGCTCTCTTGCATGCCGGGCTTGTTGCTCTGCGAAGCAACTCCAAGTTAAGCATGAAAGCACTGCCGTAAGATTCAAGCTCGACGCTCTGCACTCTCTTCCTCCCTTTTGCTCGATGCCTGTGCTTTCAAGGAAGCGCGAGGTGGCAAACATTCAAACAGCATGATGCCCTCGAAGTTGCACCTCTTTGGCTGCGGAGGCCACGTCTTCTGGCTGCCCAGCCAGCTGTGCACCTGTCTCTGTTTCTTCTGTTCCCCAGCTTGCAAGAATATACTAACTTGTACGCCTGCCAGAAGGATTGGAAAGTGGGTTCTATCCATACATCTGAAACTAGAATCAGATTGTGGCATCAAAATGAGGTGCGATTTCCACGACCTCTTAGGCAAACGCGTTCATCAGCGGCAGGAAGCAAGTAGCCTCCTTCCAAGACGCTCTGCCTGAATGCGAGACGTTCTGAAAGACAGAACAGGCAACAGCACCCATTGAGCACGCCACTCCGTCAAGTCAGCAGCCGGTACTTTCAAAGCCATCCTGAAGCCAGACGGGCCACGGCAGGGCAGAGCAGGGCAGAGTGCCGGGGAAGTTCCCATTCTCAACATGTGACAAGTCATCAGCAGCAATAGAGCTGCAAGGGCGTGTTTGAGGGCGCCTCTTGTTGCGATCGATCGCAACCTTTGCGAAAGGCCAAGGCATGCGAATGCGCATGTTTGATCTAGGCGCAGCAGATAGGTACTTCAAAGGGTGATGTCAAAGTCGGAAACCAAGAGTCGGAAACGGAGAGGAGAGAGTCGGGAATCAGCAAAGCAGACGTGGGGGAAAAAAGAAGAGGAGAGTAGGGAAGCATGGAGGGCCGAGCAACTGAGTCACTTACCTCTGACAAGATGCCATCCTGCAAGCAGCGTGCGAAAACCAAGGCCGCTAGATTAGCATAGCATGCAGTAGTGCAGTAGCACCTCCTCCTCCTCCTCAGAGTCGCTGCTTCCACTTGTGCTGCTCGAGGAGCCGCCAGACTCATTCCACACTTCACTTGCTGCATCACCTTGTGGCATAATTATTGTTTCGGGAGTAGACTTGTACCTCCTTCAGCATCAAGACATAAGCCGCCAAGGCACTGTTTTGCTCGTCCGCGTGCAGGCCCGGCTTGCTGAGAATTGCCAACTCTGAACATTCTTGACTTTCGCGACATGGCGACTCTTCTTCCCATCCCTCACCTTCCCCTATCTCAGGAATTATGCCATCAACGTCTGACAGTTCTGGTAACAGGCCGCCAGTGTCATCTTGCGAAAGCAGGCCTGAAGGCTCAGACCCTGCATCCATTCAGGTCCTCAGTTGTCTCAAGCTACAGGACGGTCCTGAATGATCCCGAGCTGGCGTGCAGCAGTGAATCGCATTGCGACTTCAAGGTCTCATACATAGACAGTCTCGCGTGAATGGGCGATTCTCCTACTGCCTTCTTGATGTCAATGCTCGCCTCTAAACAGTCTCGAACCCTTGCCACCTCAACTACATCATAATGAATGCATACCACAGCCGTAGACGTGTTCAAGTGCAGCAGAGGTGTCAAGCTTCAAAGGTGGTGGATTCTTGGCGCTGCACGGGCAACCCATAGCGAAGAAACAGTTCTAGACTTCACCAGGACTGGAAACCATAAACTCGTGGCGTGTGAATCATTCTTACATGTGTTTTGCGTGGTGTCTTTTGCTGTGCTGCGTGAGGAGCTGGAGCCAGGCAGGCGCAAAGTACAGTTCTGGAGATTAAGTGAAATCCTTTGAAACGGTACACTTCTGTCAGGAACGAGCCATCATTCACATCCTCCACGCCATCTTAGCAGTCACTTTGGACTTGGAGAGATGTGAAACTTCGTCATTCAGGTGCGCAGAGAGATCTGCGGATCTCCTACAGGCAGCTGCATCTAAATCACTCTGCTACCAGCCCCCCAACTCTCCCGCTGCTTTGCTGCATCTCGCCTGGCGGAATGGGCATGCGGCACCGGGATCTTAGGGCCGGCATCGCCTGGCCGGCGTGAATCTCCAGTTCAAGTCAGCAAAACCCGAGGCTAAGGGAGAATGGTGGCAGTTTTGCTGCCCCCATACCACGTGGTGCTTGTATGGATGCCACACGTTCACTCACCTCGCAGCTCAAGTGCGAAGGGCCACAGCAAAACTGAGCATTGCACTCACGCAAGCACAGGGATGCTGCGCTTAAGTTACCTGGCCTCCTGCAATCGAAGGCAAAGCTTTGAGAAAGCGCCTCATGTCACAGGCCAGAACTACATGCGATCTACCCTGAAGCCCCTGCCACCCCGCCCTCCCGCGCGATGTGTGAGAGATTGTATGCATACGTTCACAAGTTTAGAAAGTCTGGAGAAGGTACATCCTCGAGCTGCGGAAGCATGCATTTGTAGTGTCAGTTGTAGTTTGATGGAGTTTGATCAAACATGGACACGTATACTAGACCCAAAAAGCTTCACCTGATCGGACATTCCTGTTCGAGACGGGCAGATTGCAAACATGAAGGTATTCCTTCAAAGCCCAAGTGCTACACACACTTTTGTTTGCTGACAGGAGCTCTCCTTCAGCCTTCAGACCTCAGACCGTGCACCAAACTGACCGCGGCAGAAGCCAACGAAGAGTCACCACCGCCTTCTGACATTGTCCCCATCAAGACACAGCGTCTATACCAGCGCAGCACAGCTGACAAGCGGCAACTCAAAGGCTTGACAGGCATGGTCTACGCAGTCTACGCGTGCCAGACGCTGTATTTGGTCAGCCTCTTGAGATAACGCCTCCCTGCCAAGTCTTTAGCTGCATCCTGAAAGTCCATGTCAGCGTACACTTCTAAACTGAACAATATGCGAGGCTCCTTAAGCGCGGCGTACCTAGCCTGTATCCGTTTCAGTTCGATCGGCCGAGAACTGGAACTTCTGCTTTACAGGTGCGGATAGACGTCGAAAGACATTGACATTCTAGAGTCCACACACTGGTGACAGCTTGAAACAAGGCGGATGCTGCAATTGCGCGAGTTGTTGAGGAATCTATGCTGCTGCAAACACGCCGACCCATATACCATGAAATGCCTGCGGCGGTGAGTACATTCAGGCTTTCCTGGGCGCGGAAACCGTCCGCGGCACCCTGCTTCCAAGTCAAAATGAGCTTGGCACCGTTCTTGCGTGCCCCCGTGCAGAAAACTTTTGTCCGTCAAACCTTCATGGAACTCCCGTGAAGCCTTGTTTTTGGTTATATTCGCTCTCTGCCCTCGTGCTGCATCATGTCCCACTGAGAAGAATTCATGGCACTTCCCAACGTTTACACGACTGTAGACATGATAGCACTGCGGGCGGAGCTTTGGTGCCCCTGCAGCTGTTGAGCAGCACTTCTGCCTCCAATGCATTTCATGGACGAAAAAGCGTTGGAGTGGCAAAGGCGCCTGCAACTGCATCAGGACAACGCAACTCCTGCATGGCAGTCAGTCGGAAATTGAGCGGGCCGAGTAGTTCTTCTGTCCTCCTGAAGACACGCGTACCATTTCAAAGCGGGAACAGCGTCGCCCACCTGAAAAAACCTCTGCTGCAGGCATTGTGCTCCCGGACCACACTTGCGAGACAGAGGCCACAGCTCTGACAAATGCCTGTGAGCTTCAGCAATGCGTGCCTGGCGTTTCGTTGCTTCGATTACGCCCAAAACAAGGTGGCAAGAGCGATGCCAGCCTCCTGCTCCTCTTGTTTGAGAAGGCCATAAGTTTCAGACGCACGCGTGTCTGCTTCTTGCATCAACCTTGACTCTTCCTGCAGCAACACAAACTGGTAGCAAAAGGCGACGACTAGTCGTGTAGTGTAGCCACGTTGGAGTCCTTCTGCGCAGCAACGGCTACTTCTCGCAGAGTGGTCTGCAAATCCTCTCAAGAATCAATAACAGAGTGAAATAGAATGAGGCATAAATGTGTGCCCGCAAGAAGTCCTCTGCTCCGCGACGCACTAATTTGCCCGTATCAAGCCTTGCTGGGTTGCAGCCAGACATTCAGAAACACAGAGACTTGCAAGGGTTTCAAGCGGCGCCTTTTGTTCTGCACATGCTTCGACAAGCTGGTCAGAAGCCTGCGCTCCGCGTGAGCGGCTGAAGAAAGCTCCTCCACCTCAATGCAACATTTTTGCACTGTAGCGGTTTAGGGTGACAAAGGCTTCAAACACACGCATCGGAAGTGTGGCTGTGTGCTGAGGTTTCTGAGTAGGAGTTACTTCCCCTCTGATTTCCTGGGCCTTGAAAGACCTTTCACGGCCTGTGTGGACTTGCACCTTTTGAGGTCATGACTTCGGTCAAGGGGTCTTGACGCCTGAACGGAGACAGATCGGATGATTGGTGCTGTGAGCGGCGGGGACATGAGCTCATGTTTGCATCAGTGGTGTGGGCGTGGCCTTTCAACCTGAAAATGGAAAGCAAAGAGTCTCTCAGCAAGCTCTACATCTTGCAAGATTCCCCGATGAAAAAGTTTGCCGACATCCACGAAGCTGGCACTACACATCACGCATGTCTGTTCGCGAGATTCAGAGAATGCTGCACTGACACAGTGCAGGTCACTGGGCAGAGGAATGGCCAAAACTGCTTGAGGAGGCAGCTTTGCCGGGCAATGCAGAGACTGCCTCACAGCTAAGGTGAGGTGCTGAACCTAACTTTAAACTGATCCTCCAGCCTTCAGGACGCAAAGCACTGCATGCCCCTGATGCTTGCCATGCAGGCAACATTCAGCACAAACGCAGGTGGACCTCGGCACACTGAACGTCAGGATGAGCAGGGCTCAGCGGTTGAGTTGCGGGCTCACAGTCCGAGCAAAAGTAGTTCACAGGCTCCTCTCTCAACATGATGCTCCAGCTGCTAGTCACTCTTGGCAGAGCCTCTATATGCCCACGCAGTGTCTGCAAGTGTCCTCTGGATGCTCAGGACAGGCGTGGAAACGACGATTCAGCAAAACAGCGCCAGCGGCAGACTCCGCAGATGCACGCCTGCTGCCTCTACCCAGACATGTTGCACACATGGTAAACGAAGATTCATGAATGGACAGGGTGTGCTCCAAGAATCAGCACATGCGAACAGCGAGGTTCAATTGCGCTTGTGGCAACAAGCTCCCTACGTGTGAAGAGAGAGAAAGAGAGACCAGGAGCAGGAAGGCACTCAGCTGAACCATGCCATTGAGTTTCTGTGAAATGACGCTCCATAGGCAGTTTTCCTGCTACGGGGGGAGTAGGGGGTAGGGGTAGTATCTTGGTTGGTTTTTCTCGTGAGGCCAGGCCCCAACCCCGCCATCAACAGCCCTGGATCCGTGTCTGTTGCCGCGTGACAAAACTTAAGGCGTTTTTTGACGCGTGTTTGAGGCTTCCCCCGACGCCCGACTTCCGGCCAGCACCATCAGCACAGTCCGGCCTCCGCTTCTCTTTTGTGATACCTCAGCATACTCAGGTTTGTTTTGTGAAGGGTGCTGGATCCTCAATTGGGGCCACACATGTGCTGCATCAGCAAGCGAATTGGGGGGCCCATGAAGCCCGTGATGCTGGCTTCTTGGGGGCCGATGGGAGCTAGGGTGCACCATAAACACAACCATCGTTAAACCCCAGCAAACCACTCAAAATTTAGTGCCTGCGGCTGTACATACCAACAGGCAAAACAAAAAGACCTGCTGTTGGCAGCACCTGCGCTGCATGGCTTCTATGCGTTTTCTACTGAAATCAGCGTCCGAGTTGTGCTGATGATGCTTGCGTGCGGCGCTCGTGCGCACAATTGGGGCCCTGTGGTGGGTTAAGTTAAGGGGAAGAAGACCTGAAAACAATGCAAAACCATGCCGAACAAAACCATGCCAAGTAGTAAGAACAGGCTTCCCATGTATCATCAGCACTATCGCGATTCTGTTTGGAATTGAGAATTAGAAGGGGGAATGGCCAGGCCGACCCATGCCGCTAGGCCCGAAATTCGTATCCCACCTGCATTGCGAGCTAGTTCTCGTAACTCGTTGGAAGGCACTGGCCGGGTGATGTGCTGGGTCATTCGCCCATGCCTCAGCTGACCCAACAAAGGGTGCTGATCGAAGGACACAGTACCGAGACTCTGACCGATGCGTGGCAGCCAAACAGCCTGACGACATGTTTGACCACAAACGATTTCGGAACGGCTTAGTGATTGGCTCCTTGGCAGAAGATCTCGCGGCATTGGTCGCAGTAGACCTCCGCTTGGGAATCCTGCCATCTACCAGAAAAACATGCAAAAAACCAAGTAACCATCCGCCAGCAGCATTCCCAAAGGGCCTCGCACTGGCCACAGCGAGCCTGAGAAGCTCCCACTACCCCTATAATATACTTCATCAGCTACGGCGCCTTATATCATGTCATCATAAAGGAATTGCGGAGGAATCTGAGCATCAAGCATCTTGCCTTTGACAGACTTCTGCCGGCCGCAAGAAGCTGCCTGCAAGGTTCAGCAGAACGCGCTGCCTTCCTGAGCTCGGGTTTTGGGTGGCCTGGCTGCTGGCTGCACCCTGCAACCAATGAAGCTTCGCCTTGGCCATGCCTGACCAGCAACGATATTGATGGGAGCCATGCTGGTCAAGACAAGCAAGCCATTCTGCCTCTCGCGTGGATATGCATCCCACGTGCTCCTGGATGGCTCCTCATATGTCTCGTTATGGCTGCATCAAGTGCCTAGAGTTGGAGGCGGTGTAGAGGTCGTGTGCACTGGTGGCGTGTATCTTACACCAGCCTGCCTAGGAATTGCGCGGCAGAAAAACATTGCAGAAAATGCATTCAAGGTCTTTGCACTTGCAGCTGCTCTGATAGCGCAAATAGCAACCTTCGACCGAGGATGCTGCTTTGGCTGATCTGGCAAGCCTTGGGATGAACTATTTCATACCCTTTCTCGTTAAAGCAAACAGGCTATCTGCAAGCAGCACTCATTCACAAAGAAAGCTGAGGCCGCACATCTCTGCAACTGAGGCTAGCTCAGGACGGGAGGCGGCAAGGTCGATGGTGATTCAGACACAACTGGCAGGGTGGAGAACGAACCCCCTCCCACTTGCAGAGATGCGATAGATGTTTGGCAACAGCGCCAGCACCAAAACTGTGCCTAATGGCCTCATGATAGCCCTACCATCTGCGCATGAAGGATTGGAGCTATGACAACTATTCACAAAGAGTGAAGCTAAGATCCTGGCGCGACGTCTGCACCACGGGGCTCATGACCCCACTTGCCAGTCTTGTTGACCTGGCAGTCTTTGATGATTGCACATTTCGTCCATACTAACACAAGGGGAAAGGAAACTTCAGCAAACTAAGTTTCAGGCTGCGATGGGGAGGAGCACAGGCTCTCAAGGTACGATGCTGCAGCGACATCTACCTTGAGAAGAGGCCGGGCAGAAAAAAATGAAACGAGATCTTCTGGGCTTGTGCCTCGGTCACCGCCTGGCAGGCCTCTGACACTATATCACTATATGGCCTTACCTAGTCTTTCAAGATTGCAGACCCGGCCTTGCATTGGACAATGTGCGTCCTGCGCGCATGCAATCAAGCTAAGCTTGGGTGCTAAGCCAGCGGGAAGCTGTTGACACGTGGCGCACCCACGCTTCTCCAGCGAATCTGCCGCGCATTGCAGGCATAGATGATGCTCACACACCTACAGACGAAGCGGCAGGGGCTCATGTCTGTGGCAGCATATTGCCTGAAATCTTCCTGGGCTAGGCTGTCGTAACAGCATCAGCCTGAAACATGAGATTCATTGTCACAGCTCAGGACATGGCTAGCAGCAGGGATGCACTTTCCAGCGACTGCCCGCACCTGCCGTGACAAATCTCAGGCACGGCTTTGGACCTCCTTAAATCAAGCATTTACCTGGCACAGTGCTGCACAATGGGGCTGCCACCTGAGAGTTTGCAAGTTTTAGACGCATGCCAGCAGCTACCTGCTTGACTTTCGGCCGGAACTCACACCAAACTGCTTGCAAGCAAGACTCTGGGGGAAGTTGCCAGGGACATCCATGAAGCAAGCCTGCAAAAATACCGCCTCGAAACCGAGCCTACACTATCCTCTGCCCTGCGTCTTGCAGGTATGTTCATACAGCAACTATCTAAGGATCAAGGCTATGATGTTCATCGTCTGCTGTGAGGTTCTAATGAGCTTAGGCCGCGGGAGAAGCAAGAACACTCGTGATAAGTACCATCATGTAGCCAGCGCGGAGTTTCTGACCTGTGCCCGACAGCACTCTGTCGGTGTGAAACTATGGTACAGCGGTAAGGAGCTAAGCAGCCGCAGCTTTGGCCTGAGACGACAAGCAGCAAAGCCGTCCACAGCGAAGTGACAGGCACGGGCCGCTGCTTTGTCTGGACAACCTGCAGCCGCCAGCAAACTGAAGACCCGGAGCAGAATGCAGCCGAATGCTTCTGAGTGGCTGAATCTTAGGTCAAGATCTGACTCAGATCAGCCCATGTTCGCCCACCATCTTTTGACGCCTCCCCGCTTCATGAATTTGACAGTGTGTGACTGGAGCACGACTACAGAAGCAAATTGCTGGTGCCACGTCACTCCAGAGAGAGAGAGAGCGAGGGAAGTCCACAGGAAATGAAGACTGTGGGTAAGTCCTCGACGTTACATGCTTCCATCAAGTCATGCATCTCTTGACTTGGGGCTACCGAAGAAATGCCTGAACCCTAAACCCTAAGTAGTAGTTTCCGCTTCCTTTTCTATTATCCCTACATAACCCCAAGATCCACATGAACTGCTGAAGGACCAGGATGAAGAGGCATCCTTTTGCTGGACCTCCAGGAGCTGCTGCTCCTCGTCCACCCGAACGTGGACCTGCACCAGCACTCCCAGAAGCCTGCATCTCTGCATTAAATTGACACCAAGAAGCCTGGAAGTTGTCTGCATTTGCTGGAAATTACTGGAATATACTGGAATACATCATGAGACAGCCAGAGACAGAAGGTTCTGGTCCCTCCTCGAAGGATATGAGGTTGACGGTTCTGCGCTGGCTTTCCGCCAAATTGTTGCACCGATTCATGCAAAGAACATGATGCTGGTTTCTGCCGCGCGTTTGGTGGCACCTTGCGCACTTCAAGTCCAGGTGTTGAAGCAGGGCAAGGGGGCTCGCAAAATGTGTAAGATGAATGAAGCTCCCAACAGTCGAGCAAATTCCGCCACCCTGCCGTTGATGAATCTTGCAGACGGTGGGCGGCAATGTCGGGTTTGGCTACTTCTGGTTACAATTACACCTGTTCTGCTCCAGTTACTTTCTTTGCAGCACCGAGCGCCGGCCAACAACTTAGCTTCTGACCCGCTTCGTTCCACAGAGGTACACCCCGTACTCCAGCCCTCAGCCGGCTGAGCCAGGTCACTCTCAGAGATGATCCTCCCACTGGGGTCTTTGCTGCAGAGTAGTGCCCTCCAAGCTCGATAGCGCCCACGGTTGACCAGTCTGGCCACCTCAGACGTTTTCCCGCACAGAAAGCACACCTTCATGTTTACGAGACCATCGCGGCAGCGTCAACGGGATCACCTTCGTGTGGTCTGTATTCCCACCTGAGAAGCTGTCCGACTCGGCCCGACATATATTCCTCATCAGAAGGATTCATAGCATCACGATACGTGTGCTACGTAAGCCAGGCACGCTGACAGCAGTCCATCCTGATGCAGTCTGAAATGCACAGGCTTCTCAGCTCTTGAATGGATCCCATGGCCTCAGCCGGCGGAATGGAAGGTCCATTTCCGAAGGCTTCAGACAATGCTCGTGGGCGGAATACCCCTTGCCTGGCGTGCAGCGGTGCTTCCCTCCAGGGCAAGTATGGATTGCTACAGAGACTGGGTTTGCGACGTGAGTGCAGCACCTCGGCATTCAATAGCAGCGCATGGTGTTTTCCACTTGGCACTTGACTCTGCTTGGCCAATCACCTGGTTCCGTCATGTTGGGGGCCTTCATGCCCTCACGCGCAGCACGCACAGCACGCGCAGCGTCTGTGAGAGCCGTAAGCCGGACAGGGGTGATGAGTGATGAGCAGAATACTGATTTGGGCAGGCCCAAAATGACAGTTTGAGCCATGGCTCTGGGCTCTGGCTTGCCTGGCCATTGACGTTGAAGCCGCTCTGCCGCGATCCACTCGACATGCTCAGACTGGCACCAAATGCAACACAGATTTGATGAAGCTCGGATTGAAACGTTGCGAACATTTTGCTTTGTACAGAACAGCCTGCAGAATGAAAAAGTGGCCTGCTCGCCGCTCCAAGCCTCTCCACTCCTGGAAAGGCGTGCAATGTCTGTAGACACCGCTAGATCGGTGCTAATGGCGCATACCATCACAATGCATTATCTCCAACATTCAGTCTATCACGTATCCATGCTGTTCGCATCTGAACTTTTGCTTGCGTGGCCTGTTCCACCAAGCTTTCGAGTTGCCAACCAGACTCCAACAGGTTGCCATAGAGAAGTGTGCAACCAGGCCACTATCATGTGTCAGGTACCCACAGGACAGTTGTGTTAATTTTGCACGTGAGCATGCTTGTCCAAGTGCTTCATCACGGAGAGCATAGACATCTGAGACCAACGGCAGTCAACTCTTGTAGCACCCCTTCCATAAGAGGGGACTGTCCATTGCACATGCCTAGGGGAAAAACATGCTTGACTAGGCGTGCGGGCATTCAACATGCGTCGCCATAATCCGCGGGCAATCCCAGGTCATTTCTTGGGAAAAAAGTTGCTAGAATTCGAGCAATAATCGAAAAAAGGGGCCGAGACTGAACATTTTCGCTTCTTTGAAAGCATTTGATATATCAAAAGCAGCGTGGCTCGAAGGACCATGTGCGGATTCGCCAGGATGTTTGCTCCTTTTGCGTCCACCAGACCTTTACAATGAATCACGATTACTCTGCCTCTGATTGGCCAATCTCGTGTCGACAGCTTGATCCAGTCTGCTTTCACGCGCTATCGGACGAGCCTCTGAAGATGAGACTCGACTGCAGCAAAGTGAGTGACCATGACAGTCATGTTTGGAGAACTCAAGAAGACTGCTCGTGAGATTCTTTTAGAATCAATGTAAAATGACACGTGACCTTGGAGAACAAGAGAAGATGAGTTGCAATCTTGTGAAGCGTCGTCTTCGAAGGTCAATAGCAAGGAAATGCAGAGCTGCACAAGGAAAAATGCGCTTAAACAAATGGGTCAACGTGCGATGATTCGGTTTGCCTTGCTTTCTTTGTTGTTCCACCTTTTGTGGCGCACGCGGGATAGTCTTAGAGGCTGCAATGGGAGTGAAATACAGTACCTGGGGAAGAGCTTGTAAGTCTCGAAATGCTGCATCTCACGCTATTGGGAACGTCGTCTTTGCTCGTCGCTGGTTGTGCGAGGCTGGCCGGAAAAAAGATGACTGCAATGAGAACAGAAGTCAGCATAGCGATAGAAACAGTAATGGGGAGGATAGGAGCTGCTAGTACCCTGGCAAGCTTCAAACAACGACAAAACGAATGGCAACAGCGCATTGATGGTCCAAATCAAATCAACACCGCACAGAGCAGGGAGCTTGGCGTGACTGACATTCTTAGCAGGCTTGGCTTCGCATTTCAGCGTTGGGTGGCATTATGTTTGGTGCCCTTGGGCATTTGTGGTGTCGAGAATTCATCTATCAGATTGGCTTCAGCACGTTCAAACGACCGCCATAACAGCAACGTAATCGGCCATTCACCAATAGGGTTCAAAAGACGGAGGTTGCTCAAAAAGGCAAGCTCTTACCAAACTGAAACGAAACACTGATAAAAAAAAAAAGGAGAGCGACAGAATCACAAAATAGCAGTAACAGCCGTAGCAACAAAAAACATGACATCCGCCGAATCCAGGCGCTTGTCTCAAGTCAAGTGTTTCCACCCCCTGACCCCCTTTGAGGCTTTCATGATTTGCGGGTTTCCCAAAATTAGGGATACTTTCTAAAGGATTATAGTATTTCGGGGTCAATACTGGGATTCCCTGATTTCGGAAAAATCTCCCATTTTTCAAGGCAGTTCGAAGTTTTGTTTGAGGTCAGGGCTGGCTGCTGGTCGGCACGCTTGGGCTTAAGGTTCTTGTTTGTGCGTGTGTCTGTGTGTGTGTTCTTTATGTTGTCGATTTGCCCCCCCCCTCTTCACCTTATCCGAAAATGAAAAGATAGACAATCAGCAGGATTCAGGCAGCAGGAGCCAACAAAAACAAAAGTGATTGAACAAAACAAAATCCGCGAGTCATGGTGAGCGGCCACCAATGTTCTTGAGAAGATTTAGCAGGTCCTGGCCTTCGGGCTGGGAGGTCAGGGAAGGCGACATCTCTGCAAAACCTCACGCAGATTTGGCCAGAAAAAGGATCTCGATAGTCATTATGCACTTTGGACAAGTAGAGTCTTCTACTAGCGCAGAAAATCGGACGAGCTAGATCCTGCAATCGCGCCATCTGGCCATGATACTAGCGCGAGTGCCGAGATGCCTGGATCACGACCCGCCGCAAGCTTCTCAAGTTCAGTCATCTGTTGCCTAGTCAATAGGCATGTGCGCTGGGGAGCTTGGGACCCCCTGCCTGCGCCTCAAGCGCCTCATCTCTCGCAGCAGCTCCTGACACACTCGCTCAACAGCTTTGGCACTGGTCGCCTTGCTCCTGCTGCAGCTTGCCTGAGACTGCCTGCCTGTGCTTGCGACACCGAAATGCTCCGTCCTTGCTAGGTAAAGAGAAACTCTTGACAGTCTGATTCTGTAGATCTCTGGCCCCAGGCTCTCCATCCCGATGCTGAATTGCAGAAGAGTAGGAATCTTCCTGACAGGAGCTTCATGACCTAAACCGCAGAGCACCCTAATTTTTGCCGATTCACACATGCACCTTGCCTCAGACGGGTACGGGGACAGGCTATGGCCACATGGTTCTTGCCCACTGGGCGACCCGGGCTGCCTTCGGCAAGAAACAACTACACTCTAAAGTTTGAGCCTAGTATGAACCCTTAATCCTAGTGTTCTTGTATACTGTATACTTGATATCTACCCTATGGACCCCTACAGACCAAACTAAGGGCCTGTAGTCAGGACCCAGGAAGCACATAGGGCCCATATTAGGGGCAAACGGCTAGCTTAGACACACGTCGTCGGCAGCTGCATGTCACCAAGCTCCACGCCGAACGAAAGACTCCTGAGAACGCTCTACCTGTGCATGCAGCTGTACAAAAGGGCAAATGCTAACACTTTCGGACTTCGTGCCTGAAGGGCTGCTCTGGCTGGCCTGGCACGTCGCGTCACCGGCGTCAACTTAGTGCAGACGAAAGTTGCGCCCGCCTGTCATGAACCGCCCAAGGTTCTGCAGTCCGCCGCGGTGGGTTCGGTCCTGTTCTGGGTCTTCTGGTTCATGGAAGGCAGATAGGAAGTGAAACTTACACAACATTCAGGCAAGTTGCCCGGGTCCTGTAATGTCTCCACCCAAGGAAGTGTCCTGTCGCAGGCGCGGCAGACAAGGGAAACTCGCACTCTGCAAAACGCAATGAGCAAGGCTTGCAATACTTGCTTCCCATTCGACAAACTCGCACGCCATCCAGACCCTCTGATGACTTCTGACACCAAAGAAGCTTTCAAATCCCTGTCTGAGCTGCATGCGCAATAAAACATCGCGCAGATTTTGACCGGGCTAGGCGTGTCGGTGAAGCAAAAATTAAACCACTTGATAAACCTATGATGCAGCCGCCTGACAGGAAACATATAAGAAAACCCTGGCAAACAGCTGCACTGGTAACACAAGAGACAAGTGATTGCAGAAAAGCTGTCCAAATCCAAAGGCGGCTGCACTATTATAGTGCTTCGGCTAGAGTCGCACAAACGCGGGCGGCATCTAGACAAAAACGGGAACGCGAGTGCGTCAACCTTGCGCCTGGCTAGCAGCCTGGCTAGCAGCTGATTCAGACCGCAGGTGGCCGCACTCAATCCCTTCAGGGCAGCCGTTGGCACAAAGTGCAGAACAAGAATCCAATCTCAATGATCTTCAGAACTTGCTGGGCAGGTGCGCCAAGTGCCAACGCATGAGTGCTGAAGCATTAGTTCGGACGCGACATCAGAATATCTTGTCGGATCCTATGGTAACCCCCCCTGCTAAATCGGCTTGATTTTGCGCCAAATTCTTGCAGGCAAGGGGATGAGAAGACAATATAGCCGGGAAAAGCTTGCGTTCCGCAATGTTCCGCAAAGTGTTTCAGCCTGGCAGGGCCCTTTGATGGCTCTTTCAAGCAGTTGCCACTGCGGGTTTTGCCCGAAGTTTGGACTACCAGGAGTGTGCCACTCGTCTGGAAACGGCAAACTGCGCAAAATCGTGCGCGTACGCCGCTTGATGGATAGCCCCAAACGCTCATGGGGCAGTGCTCCCTGGAGCATTTTGAGTCACCAGCGCCGGAGAAGCCTTCGAATGAAGAAAGCCAACCACCAGGCACATGGTGAGAAAATCTGAACTTGCACACACTGGTGCAGCAGCAGAAAACATGCAAGTGGGCAGCGAAGGTAAACACTAGAGCTTGGAATCGTCTGAACAAGTCCGCGCGAACTGCATCTCCTCTGAAACCTCTGCCCTTGAGCTTGCGATTCTGAAAACTTCACATGACTTGACCATAACATTGCTGGCGACAATTGAGGACATGCAGGCGCCGAAATCTGCCGGTTCAGCGACCATCTCTTGCTTGAGATGAAGCCTGTACATCAGCATGGTTGAAGCTCTCGAATTAAGGCGCCTCATCAGCGGATCCTGACAGCACTGTGGTAAAAACCCGCATTTGTACCATTTGCAAATGCACACCTAGACTTGTCAACACACATCATGAGAGCAGCAGCAGCAGCAGCAGCAAACAAAAAGAAAAAAACGAAACCAACCTAAAGCGCCTCCTCGCAGCTGCTGTGAGCTGGAAGACGGATCGTCAGCCTCACTCACACTTGTACGATCATGCACCCTCACCATTGCATCAAAAGCCTGCACGGCCAAAATTACATGGGGGAAAACGGCAACGGCCAGCATCTGGACAAAAAATAACTCAAGCATAACCGTTTCTGAAAATGTGAGCACTCGACACATCCGACGTAACCGTGTCCGCACATGTTTTTGCCACATGCTGGCTACAAACTCTCCATCGTCAACATTTGTGCAAGTCTCCACTTCAGATATATTATTCGTTCCAGCAACATCACAACCTGTGATTCCATTCCGGGATAACGATAGCTTGAATTCTGCCTGTTCCCTGACACATGTATTGCATTCACTCAGAAATGCATGTCAGGACATGTTGCAATCATTCTCAATCTCACACTTGAGCATCCCCAACTGCTTCCACTGGTTTCGCGCAGCTTCATTGGACAAGAAAGGCAAATCAGCTCCTGGCCCCCTGCACTTTACACAAACAGCACAATCACACTTTGTTCTTGTTGCTTTCCTTCATGCTTCTCTTGGTCACGGAAGTGGACACACACGGAGAAAGAGGGGTTAACCCTAGGAAATCGAACCATCGATCGATCGATCCATGTCCTAACTAAAGGGGGTTCGGCACCTGTTAGTAATATTTATATGATGATACAAATAGAACCGTTGCAGCGCGTGTTTGGTAGAATAGCAGGGAAAACAGGGAAAACATGGAAAAACATGTTTGGGCCCTCAAGGCGGACGTAAACCCTTAGGGGGAATATTGTCTTCATCGTCAGCGTCGTCCGCATCGTCGTCTTGGGGGGACTATAAAGGGACCTTCGGGGTAGGGCTAGGGGAAGGGGCCCCGCTCTAAATGTGCGTCACGGCGGAAAGTAAGCAGGTAGGCTTGCCTGGGGTGTGGAGGGGAGCTTCGTTGGCAGAGCCCCTGCACACCCCCTTTGTCCCCTGCATCAATGTACATAAGTAGAAGATGCGCAACCCTTAGAATTGGCCACAGGGTGTACACACACACTCGCACTTCCCGGTAATGGGTAAGTTTAAATAGCATTGTCATACACAGGAAGGTCGCTTAGTACGAAGCGTCGGCGCAGCTTCCCTGAAAACTTGCCCGCTGCTTCATCCTCATCACGTCTCACTAAGCACAACACTTGAAACCGCGCGCACAACCACAAGAAAACACACACTCACGCGCATGTTTTAATGAAGTGCGCACGTATGCCAATCCACCCCGGCCAGCAGCATCGGACCATGGGGGTGTACACACCCTCCGCACAAAGTCCGGCAATATGACACAGCATCTTTGGCCTGCCAAAGCAAACCCGCAAGGGCGGGAGGGCGGACCTTGTGATAAAGCAGCAATACCAAACTGCGGCCCACACCCTCAGCCGCCGCAGCTGCAGACCAACAAGGGCGCGCACAACCACAAGAAAACACACACTCACATGTATGTTTTACTGGACCGCACACATACGCCAACCCCCCCAGGTCAGCTGGAGGTGCTGACCATGGGGGCGCACACACCCAACTGAAAGGTGAACAGTTCAGTGCAGATTGAGGCCACACTAATCTAAACGAAGTAACAACCCCAGCCCAACAGTGGAGGCTCAACTGCTGGACCATGGAGCATCAAGTAGCTTTGTCAACGACGCACGGCGCTCATGTTCAACTTTGACGCCTGCCAAACCATCGCGGCATAGCGCATCTGGCCAATCGTTGCGAACGCCAAAACTCTCAGAGCACACAAGCCTAACCCCAAACCGGACAGGCCAAAACCCTGATAGTAGTTCTTTCATTTTAGCCTGCGAGAAAACGCTCTGACGACACCATAGTTGTCACATATAGCTGCGCAAGACGCACAACGAAGGAGTCGCTGCGCTTGCGCCGAACTCCCAGCAGCGAAGAACCAAAAGGATGAGTTGGGCAAGCGCCTCAAAAGAAATAATGAACGACTGCAATGGCCCATCTTTGGCAGGACGGAGCCACCGCGGCAGGTCGTTGCGCGACAGCTTGAAGCGAAACCACTTGACTTGGCCTAAAGAACAATCATCCCCAGAAGAAAGAAACCAACCCCCTAAGCCAACAAAGTTGCCCCTGGCAAAGGCATCCGCAGCGCAAAGGCATGGTGGAGCATCGCTGATGCAAAGCGGGATCTGCAGGTGCCCTGACACACCCTTGCGGAAAGGCCATGCTGCAGAAAGACAGAGCTGCTCTCCGACGAGTAATCAAAAAAAACCACACTGATCTGCCCTGAACAAGCTCGCGAGGCTGCGATGGCCTCGTCACCAAGGCGAAGAACAACACGGTTGTTCACCGAGCGCAGCCACTAACATGGGCGGACGTAGGATAAAGCGGCCGGAGAAGTAACCAGCAATGAGTCGGACAAGCAGCCGAGCAACTCACAGAATTGGTGAACTGACAGAGCCCGGGTCATAACAGAAGGCTTATAGAGCAATCGGTAGGACTCCCGCAGCCATGGTCTGAGCTAGGAGGCCGCCCCCGTAAACCAAAGCAACAAACCAATAACCCTCTCAAGCTCCCGCGGAAGAAGTCTGCCGCCGTGCTTCTGTTTCGGGTCAGTGCCCCACGGCAGGGCAACCACAAACCGCAAGAGCCCTCCCAACACAGCCAGGCCCACTCCCGGGCTTGGCCTCTGCTGCACAAGCCTCTCTTATACGGGTTAGCCCGCCAGGGTCGTCGCCAGGCCTTGCCAGGGTCGTCCGTCGTGCTTTGCCTGTTGCCCAGCTTCTGTCACGGTGTGCCCAGCAAAGCCGCAGGAGCCCTCCCAACACAGCCGACGAGCTGCCCTGGAGGGTTTCGTCGTCCTTCTCTGTGCTCCAGTTAGGCAGCAAGGCACTTCGCGAAGGAAAAAAACAAGTCCCACGCTCGCCAGCCGAGAGTCTCTCCAAAAGCTAGTTTCCCCCAGCTCAACGGAATCGCCAAGGCGCAGAGAAAAAATGACGCGTAGAACGGCCAGGCTGAATCCGCCGTCCACACACAGAAAGAGCCCCTGGCAAATCCATAGGAAAATATGAAGCTGGCGCACTGCAAACCCACCAGCCCTACTAAACCAGTAGGCAGCCCAACAGCAGCCAAAATAGCACCTGCTGTAGGCAACCAGCCCGACAACAAAGCAGGACAGGCCCTGCTCAGGCTCGCGGACACTAGTGAGCTTGTGAGCTCCACGCACGGAGAAAGTGCACCAGCGCGGATCTCGCTTGAAGAGTTGGATAGAAAACGCTGCACACTCTCAAGCGTGGGAAAATCCATTTTTTCTAAGATCCAGCCAGCGGCATTGGCACCTGACACGGGGCCATCACATCACCAATTAGCCTGGGCTTTTTGCCAGGCGACTGAGAGACGCCGAGCTTGCTCGCCTCAGCTACTATGAGCGAGAGAGTCAACTCCTCGTCATCCAGACCACTCTTCCAAGTGGATGTGTGGATTGATAGCCCTGAGTCCGTCCCAGCAGTCAAGTAGGAAGGGCTGCCAGGGCTCAGGCATGGCTGCACAACGCAGGAACGACACAAGCTCTTCACGGA